TGATATTCTGAAGGTCATGGAGGCATTGAATCTTGGACATATTGTTGAACAACCGTATGGTACACATCGGCATTACAATGTAACAAGACTTGTCATTTTTACCTATTTTATATACAAACACAGAGATATATGCCTTCCTCTTCAGACATAGTTGCATGTTTATAAGTTTTTATCCTCTAAATACTTTTTTCTAATTAAATTTATGTGATACTCTGTGTTTCATTTAAGAAACAAAAGGACATCTTCAACCTGCAAAGTAATTAATCATAAGATTCCATGGTTGTTCATGATTGCTATGCCACTAGTGTTTTTTTTTTAATTTTTTGAATTCATACATATAAATAGCATCTTACATCTGCAGAATACTATCTGATGCAATATGGTTCATGAACAAGTTCCATCCTAGTGGCAAAGGGTTCTATACCATTTGGTTCCATTTCATACATTTTGTCTTAAATCTGTATGTTTAAACCAAGATTGGTACAAATTAATGTGCTAGAAGAGCTATTTGCATGACTATACAAGTGGTCAGCATGGTAACCAGCTGTTATATGCCAACAACATTAATTTTTGTTATGGTGAAGTAGATTGGCAAATAGGCTGGTAGTTGTAGGTTCTATCAGTAAATTAATATTACTTACTGTTCTGTCAGTTGGTTCTCGAAAGAAACTTTGTGATCTCTAACAGAGGCTACTAAAGGATTGAGCCCACACTATGACAATTACCATAAGATAGACAAGACACTGCTACCGTGTCGTTTGCTATTGACTATACCCATTGTGTTTCACATCTACCTCTGTTATTCTAACACTTGGTGTCCGCTGAGTGTTAGAGAGGAAAGGATATAGAAAGCAAAAGTGGACAAAAAGACATCTCCCGGCTTTATAAAATGGGAATGCTGTCATAAAGAAGGAAAATATTACGAGATTCAATCTCAAATCCCTTGAGGGTTCTCTTCGAATGAAAATTATTTTTATTTTGGTGCAATTACCTTATACTTCATATTTATAGTGATTAAAGCACTCGGGATACTGCAAGACTCGTATACTTGGGGTGCTAATTTCTAAAATATCTGATAGTTACCACAGTAAAATCTTTGGATTATATGATCAATAATTACTTTTCAATAAATATGTGATTGTTAGTTATTAGTGAATCAATCTTCTTTATTATCCATTATGATCTTTTATATAGTTTTGTATGTTGTATATCTTTATTTCATTTGTTTTTTAAAGTCGGGTATTTCATCATCCCATATGGTCCTTAGTAATTCTCAATCCTGACATTGATTGTGCGAACTCACAATTAAGACAGGAAATTGGACTACTCAGGACACAAGTTCAGGTGAAAAGAAAAGGAGATCAATAAAATAATACAAAATCTGAAGAGTCCATATTAATTGGGAACAAGTTTGGCATAGAGAGAACTCAAAAGCATGTGTTATATGAAGGATCAGATATAGAGCTAATTCTCATCAAGTTTGACCCTTGAACTGTAATGCTTTTTAACCCCTTTGTAGACCAGCTAAACAACTACATTAGCACACATTAAAATCTACAAGTCATACATGATATTATAAAAGAACTTTAATATATAGGTATTTGTAAACTGACAGCACATAGCACAATTCAGAGTGAATTGGCCATCAAATAAATTCTTTAAGCACTAGTATAGCTGAAAACAAATGAACATGAAGTATTTTCTTAGTAATGCAATATGTTTCTCTTTACATACTTCTTAGCTATGATTAACATTGCAAACTTTTGGAGATCACATTCTCCATATTATTGACTAGTCAAGTTCATTAATTAGATGTAATTTGTGGACATCGATTTTGCTCTCTGCAGGTAAATGGAGCTCCGTTGACCATTGGCATTGGAAGCATCTTGTCAAGAGATGGTTTTTCATTCATGTTATCTCCGGCTTCTTCTAGATCTGTGTGGAGATCTCTTTTAAGTCATGGTGCCATTCCTATGGGAGCTAATGCCTGGGAGAGGCTTCGAGTTCTTAAAGGTCATGCATAAACTTCACAGTTCGGGAGATGCATATATATTCGTCTTTCAGGTCATAAAAGATAATATAAATAGTCTTATTTAAGAAATTTGAATGCAGTGTAACTACTATTATTTGTTATTAGAAATTAGAAACCCATTATTTTAATCTTCTTTTCACAAGTTATGCATTGTCCTTGCAATATAGTTTCTTTCAAACATCAGACAATCTCATCCATCTCAAAAGTTTTGGGTCGAGACTGTCTGATGTATGCATATACATGCTCCAATTATAACCTAAAGTAGGCATGATGTTAGAGATTCTCCAAGCTTCTTTAAGTATGCATTCCTGGTTGTAGGACAAGATGCAACAAAGCTACTGTTTTCTGTGTTTTGCATTTGCTAGGTTGGAATCTTTCTTGAGAGACAACACCAGTTATCTTTTTCTCCTCGTGTTTGGAGCTGGATTTTTTTATAACCTCCTCCACATAACCAAAAGAGGAAAACATATCATAATTGTCATTCAAAGATTAACTCCAAGTGCTGAGACCAGCTACATGTGCAGGAAGGCCAGCCCCTGGAAAGGAGCTAACCAAAGACTACAATGTACTAGAGGCAGGCCTCTCGATGGCTGTTCATCTAGATAAAGGTTTCCATGCCATGCAAGTAAATTTTTTTTTGACAAGATATATGATATGTCATGATCTTTACTTATATTTCTATCTATGTTCAATATTTCAGGTTGTTACAAAGGCCAAGAGACCATATCTAGGCTTATCACCTATAACGGTGTGAAGCAGCGATTATGGGGGATAAAACTATCAGGCCAAGCAGCGCCAGGGACTTCTATCATGCTAGATGGAAAGAAGGTACAGTTGATTTAGTGTATCATTTCCAATCAAGTAATTCCTAATCGAGATTTCTGAGCAGGTTGGGGTGCTTACGAGCTACGCTCTGGGAAGAAGAGATGGGGAGCATCTCGGCCTCGGGTATGCCAAAAGACATGTTACTCCAGCTGATGAAGTGTTTATTGGGGATGTAAAAGGGACTTTAGTGGATGTGTCATTCTTGTCCTACACAAAGTTGTGAAGTGCCAATTCTGTTATATCTCAGTTGCCTGCAAAATCTTGGCTCCACTTTAGCAGTCCATCCAAATGCAAGATTTTATACTTTAAACCCTCATTCCCGCAGCCCAGTTCTTCTCTGACTTTTCTTTTAAATAATATTTTTGGTCTGCAGAAAAGATAATACATTGATTATGGCCATTGCAGCTACCATGATGGACTATGATCTTTATTTGGTTTGATTAGAATGTATGTGCAGTACATATCTCATCTTAAGATGATGTGATATCAATCTCAAGGCACCTCCTCATGCCTTTGCCTCTTTATTTGTGTGCTTGGTTGCAGTGGTTGATGGTCAGGATCTGTGATGGAAAATGCTGTCAATCTGTTGTCTTCTGCCGAGAGTTAAACAACAATTTTTTTTACTGTATTCTGATTCTGGTGTCATGGTTTTTAGATTGCTAAATGCTAATCATGTTAACTCCGAGGTTGGTCGTTCAACGGTCCAAGGGGAGAACGACCCAATCAGATTCGGACCCGAAGATGCATGATGCATGATGCATGCTATCCCCATAAGTTGATGATTGTTAGAGAAAAGTTTGTCGCTAGAGTTAGATGGTGCTCGATCTTCGAATGTGCCATTTGAGATTCTACAAAAGAATGATGTCAAGAGTAACTATGGATCCTCATGAGGTTATCGACAGTTTAAGTAGTTAAATGCAGTTACGGGGGTGACGCAATTGCCTACTGAAATGACAGCTGAGGTGGAATATCTTTGCTGATATGGTTCAACCACCTGTCAAGGTCTACTAATGTAGATCAACCACTTGCCAAGGTGGCACAACTTTCATTCGCGTGGCTAAACCACCTGCCAAGGTGGCTCAATTGCCTCCTCTTAGTCCTACCGAGGTGATGGCCTTTGTCACATGTGTGTGCATGTCCGATTTTTAGATGATCCATTTTGTCATATATCAAATCCGATGCAACGTCAAGTGGCACTCTTTGGTAGTCAAAGCATATTGGAAGCCTATTTCGATTCCTATTTATGCACCATGTAAAGCAAATGTCGTGACCAGAGTAAAAGAAGAAAACCAATCTAATATGTTCTCCAAATCCGATGAGGTAAGAGTTGGAGATTCATTCAATCGACCATGTAAGTGTCGTGTTAATGTTCCAAGCATCGCTGGGGAAGTCTCGTGTCTTGTTCTTTTAGTGCTAGTGATAAATGTAGCAGATTGGGTGATAATTAATCTAAAAGTTGAAGTTGTTCGAAAAATGTCCAATCGATATTAGACCCTAACATCCATTTTTATGTGCACATTGAATTAAGATGTGGCACACAGCATAGTGAAAACCAAAGTAGAGAGAAAGATATTACACAAATATTAATTAAATGAAAAAGGACATGTTTTACATGTTTTCAACACATGACATACTCTGATATCATATGCTCAATAATCCTAAAAGCTTAAGCTATTAAAACATATTCCAATCTATAGTAAACTTGGAACACCGGCAAACATGAGAGGAAGCAGAATGCAGGATTTCTTCTAGTGTGTGATCAATTACGACGGGAGACGACCAATGCTGCTACAATGATACATATTACATACAGGCTATCAAAGATACAGATTCACCTGAGTCATACAACTGAACCACCGTCGAAAGAGGGGTTCTTTTTTCAACACTAAAAGCTCCAGTGAGTTATGTTTTTTCAGATATATAGACCGGCAGAGGGCTACTAAAATATCCTTGTCTTGGCTTTGCTTTAGGCTGACAAACCACTGGCTGCTGTATGCAATCCTCTTTCTTTACTAGTAGCAGATGATGAACAAGCAGATGTCCAGAACTTACAAGGACCAAGTAACATCATCACAATAAGGTGATTCATGGTCATGTCAAATGGGAAAAATTGAAGCATGCATGCAGCAAACTTGTAAGAAGCTAATTTGAACTGGAGGTTCTGTTTGATATGAGAATATCTATTTCAAGAATATAGTGCAACATTTCACTGGTAAACTTTGATTAATCAATCAACAAAAGGGACACCTGTTCACTAACCATTTTAGAGATAAAGCAGGAGATGGGATCCTTTTTGACGTATAAATCCTGTATTGCACAACTATTATAGATTCCTTTGGGTCCTTGAAATGAGTGCAGCTACAAAAAAATCGGTGCTGAACTTGGCTGAATATTCAATTGTATACTTCGGATGGCAGCCTTTCTTCTTCTACTGCAAACTGGGACAGAGACCATATTATGCAGCCCAGGCCACCACCTCCTCCGCTAAGCTGAATACTGTACAGGATAAACATGGACTGCTTAAAAGGATATACCCTTTGCATGAGTTCTAGAAAATTCCTCTGCTGATACTGGATGATCATGTAAGCTTGGATTATATCTTGAAAGGTAAGGCAGATGTTAAATGGCTTCCTTTCTGATTTCAACAATGGAATGGCAGATGTTATGATTTACATAACCTCCTTTTCTAATCTCAAAACAGCCATGAAGGCCTCCTGTGGCACTTCAACCTTTCCAACTGCTTTCATTCTTTTCTTTCCCTCAGCCTGCAAAACAAGTCATGACAACTGTAAGGATTGATGTATGAAATTACTAAAGTCTTTTTTGTAACTCAGGAAATTGACCGATGAGAAGTTTCCAAATAATAACTAGATGGTTTTGGTCTATCACAGCAGAAGAAGAATGATGTAAGGATCAGCCGGTACACTCACTGCAGAGGAATGATTCCTAAAGAAGACAAATGAGATCAACATATGAATCTATCGAAGGCTGCATAATAAGAATTTTGCAGTTGTCCTTACCTAGAAGGAAAATGCCCAGACATTTGATTGTAAAACAAAAGGATATTCTTGTGTCTGTTTAGACAGCTAAGAACAGGTACATATGTAGTGTTATAATTAAACAATCATATGATTATTTTAGCTTTTTAACTTATGCATCTGTTTCAGCTGCAAGAACAGGGATGTCATCTGATAAAATACTTTTGCTGATAGACTTCTATAATATTTTGGTTGACTAATAAAAAACACTGAATTAGGCATGTTTGATTTATGGACTGAGAACAATTCAAAATAAGCTGCTAACTCTTTTCTGCATCCACAAAGGTAGTATAGAAGTTTTATATACTTAATCACATATTAAAACATCCATATAGAATATACTTTTTTAAAGTTTCGGATAGAAGCAAAAGGAAGATCACCTGCTTTTTAAGCAGTTTCTTTTTCCTTGATATATCACCCCCTACAAAAAAGAAGTTTCCTTGAGAAAGATTCTTCAAATTAAATTAAATGATTGTTTGATAAGATAAGAAAACGAATGAAGGTTCAACTGCCTACCAAGCACCAAATATGTAAGAAACTGTGGTGTCAAAACAGGGAAAAGAATAAAAGGGCAGACAACATATATCCTTCGTTATTGTTTTCTTACGTACCATAACATTTTGATAGAACATCCTTCCTAATTGCAGATAAAGATTCACTGGCAATCACTTTTGAACCAACGCATGCCTGCCACCATCCATGTGTTGTTTGCAAGTTAGAAGAGGTAAAAACAAGCTGGCAAGTAAATTGTTCAGCAAACTAGAACTAATGATGGAAAACAAATTGTTTTCAGTTGTCAAGGGATGTGATGCTTGTGAGGTTTGATGCCTTGGAGAGAACACAAAATATTACAACTATCATATGGTACATAGAAACTATTACTGATAAGAGTATTTTGCATATAAGTTGGTGGCAAGCTAGTCGTAGAAAGAATCAAATGTCCAGGGAACAGACAAATCTTAAGAGTCAAGATTTCTTAGTAAATCAGACATGAGAAGCGCAATGTAAAGGCTGGTGCACTAGTGCCACTTTTAAAGCAAATCCTACATATGGAAAGTAGACTATAGAGGCTCAAAACAATCCAACTACCATATGCAGTAATTAAAATGGACAATCCCAGTGTACAAGGTTCCCACCAATGGGAGTCAGGGGAGGGTCAATGTAACAAAGAAAAACATTTAAGACCTGTATTAAAAGATAACGCAATTCCATTTTGACAAAAAGGGAAGTCACAACAAGCAACAAGAATGAAACAAATATACAGAAAGTCACACATACAAATTTAAAGCTGTCAAATGGTAAAGCAGTCAATGAAGAAAATAAAACATATAGGCAAGATTCTAAATACTGTACCGTGCCGGTATACCGATCAGCTAGCAGTACGATACATACTGAGCTGTACCGAGCATACTGATACACGGTACACTAAGGTATACCAATGTACTGCCTATACTGGTCCTCTATCGGACCGGTACATATCGCCCATACCGAACAGTACGGTAAAGTATTACAAACCATGCACATTAGTCATATCTAAGCTCATGAGCATAATCAGACAACCCAGTGACCCACTATGTGGCCTAGGCCTGTCTGAGTGCAGCCATGAGGCGACATCCAGTACAGGGTACACATAGACATAAATCACTTTCTAAGGCTACAGAAGTAGGGTAGTACATATGAAAAGGACAAGAACTGGGTCACATTTGGTGACCAGGCACGTATGTTCACTGAAAGGTTGATGTTAAGATTACAAGCAATATAGGTCATAGGATGGAACCCTAACAGAATATAGGTGAAATTTACTCAAGAAAAGCACATTATAAGACAAAAGGAGCATTGTAAATTCTTAATGAATTTCAAGTTACAATCCAATATCTGTCTAATAACATGCTTCCACAGACCATCAATCTTTTCTGGAAAAATACAGGCCAAATATTGACGTCACTCAGATTTCAGAGTACATTTAATTAGGAAGCCAATAGAAGCACAAGAGAGACTGCCGTGTTCTTATTCCTTCTGTTTTTGCAACATCAAACGCTTCAACAAGTGATTTCTACATTAAATTAGTAGCTTTTTACAGAGTTTTTCAATAGTTCTTCCAACTCTTTACATCAAAATATTTTATTGCTTCTTGAACAGAATTTATTGCCACTAACTTTTTCTAACAATATTGGGTTGACCTGTGATAAACTACTAAAATCTGTAGCAGCTAAGTCCCAATATTCCATATGAGCAACAAATAGCCCATGTAAATTACAGTGTAGACCATCACCAAGCACCAAGACCTCCAGATATCTTCATCCATATACGAACAGTTGCGTTATAAGCATGAGAATATACCTGTATGTTTCTACTCAATCATCGCATGTTGCAACATACCTGAATTGGAATTTTGAACATTTGTCTCGGTATTAGCTCCTTTAGTTTCTGAGTCAGCGCTCTCCCAACAGCATAAGCCTGGAAAAGTAGCACTCAGTGCAGGTTCTTGAGACATGAAAGCAAAAAGAAATATTAAACATGCATTCTAACTGAGACTAACACATGAAGACCAAGGTTTACTTTTGTCTTGGCCACGTACAGACACAACACAGTGCCTACTGCTGATACCATACCAGCAAGATACATGCTGAAATGGTATGGTCACATTAATTTTAAATGAAATGTTGATTATAGAAACAATGTCAACTTGAAATCCCCAGGTAATAAAAGATGTGTAGCATGCATCTATGATGTTATATTGATGCACACATATGCATATAGGCATCACGAGAGAGAAGAGAGAGAGAGAGAGAGAGAGAGAGAGAAGCCTGTTGCCATATTAAAGATTCTGCCCAAAGTCTTCCTCATTGAATTTTTCACCAACAGATGACAACAAAAAGTTGACTTTCAAGATGTGTTTAAAGACCATGCAGTTATTGTTAACTTGTCTCAAAAGAGTAATAAACCTAAACTCCATATTAGAAGAACAAGAACGAGTTAGAGATGGTTAGCCAGAGTCCATTTATCACAATGAAAGGTAAGCACAAAAAAGATGGATCACCTTATCTTTATGCACAATTGTTGATAATGGTTCCACAGGCTCACCATTAATCTGGACATCAAGCTTTACCAAATCACTTTCCCTATACCTGTGAGTTGCACAAACCATGGAACAAATTAATGTACTCTTGAGCTAGTTGAACTAAATGAGAAATTTTATTTGACCTTGATTTGTTGAATAAACTTCACTCTGTTTATTACATGCTCATTCTATGTAATTTTCATAGTTGCATAATAGATGATGCCGGAATGACAATTTTTAAAAAATGGCATATGAAAATTAGAGTGAGGAATGTTCCACTTATGAGGGGGACAAAAACACATAAGAAGAAAAACAAAGGAAGCCACTAATTCTAAACCTGGGAAAACCTATGTTATTTGGAAAATGGGAGCTTGAATAGAGGCAATGATATTTGCAACTCTTCCAAGAAAATATTTTATATATGTATATATTATTAGGTGTTAACTGTTGACCTGTCTTATTTAACATTTTAACTAAAGCCAGTGAAATCCATTTGCTGCCACACACACATTTAAAGGTTTAGGAGGAGACTGCAAGTGACACTGCCATGATCAGATTGACAGTCTCGGCAAGGACGTAGCAAAGGAAACCTTTGGAGATCAATAGGTCTTAAGTATCAACCACCATCATTGGAAAATTGTTCAAGATTAAATTACACCATGTTACAGTGAAAAAAATTGGCATCTTTAATTGTTCAGAAATAAATAATCTCAAGCACATTACTATGTTATAAACCTACATGTTATAATATGTAAAATACTTATAACAAAAATGGTATATTGGCTTATTAAGATAACTAGTTGTAGTAAAGAAGGAAAAATAAAAAGCTAAAGTTTATGGATCAAGGATATTGGAGTACTAAAAGGAATGTCATGTTGACCAGCATGTCTTGGAAATAAAAGCAAAAAATTTGTCATGCCAAAAATGAATATCATCAGCACACATGCCATGTTGACTTGTGTTGGAGCTGCTAACATATGGCTAGTTTACCTTTTTAAGGTATGCACAAAGATGTGCCAATCAACATAGCACAAAATTGCTATGGGGAAGAAAAGTTATCAGCATGCTCAAATGCCTCAAAACAACTATCCATAGATAGAAGAGTACTACAAGGAATTCTTGGTCTGTGCTAGCATATCGACACACTGTCATAGACAATCGTTGCGCACACGCAACACCTTCATCAATAGACCGTTCGTCGCTTTTATTTATTTGTACATATGTTTGGCAGCATATTTTGGCTCATTTTTGTGTATTTTTGCTTGAAAACTATGAGCAAGAAGAGTTTGTAGGGCTGCAGTGCAACCGTTCACCAGAATAAACAAAACTACCCTAGAACAACCCAGTTTTCAGGTTTTTGGCAAGCTATGATATAGTGCAAAACGTCAACCATCTTAGCACCCTAGAACCACCCAAGTGACACAGGACTGAATTGGTGGTTTGGGGTAGCGTTGAGCGTTGATTGGATTCACAAGCTCGCACGTAAAGCCTATAGGGCCTTGCCAACGTGCCTGACACTTGGTGAGCAATCGTTTGTGAATTTGCAACTATTCGTTTACCTTTTAAAGTCATTGTTTTCTTCTTCCTCTCTTTTCTCTCTTGTACACTAAGTGTTTGCTGAATTGCTTGTAAAGTTACCCTCTTTGCGAGACGTCAAGACTTGTTTATCGCTTGTTTTCTAAACTAATCAATTGGCCTTTTTACAGGTCCTTCGAGACCTAAGCGAGGTTGCAACTAGGCTTGACCTTTTATGGACAAATAAAACAAGAGTGTCTTACGACTTAGACAACTCCAGCTAAGTTCGTGACAACATGGTATGCTGGCATGTACCATAATACTAAGAAAGCGAGGGTGTTGGGAGGGGACGAGGGGAGTAACAGAGCTGGTGACAACAGTGGGTAGGTTAGCCAGGTGAGCGGTGCAAGTAGTGGGCTAGCCACGACAGATGGGTTGGTTGGACAAGGATAGGCAGCAAACATCGCAAGAGAGATCAAGAGAGACATATAAGCACCCAAAAAGGGGCAGCCCGTATCTTGGTTTGTGCCTAAAGCCCGAAATACCCGCCAATACATAAATGTTCGAGTGGAACCATATTCCTTGGTAAGTATTGACTAAAACAATCATTCAACTTTTTGACCCCAAATCATGTCCAGATGATCAAATTGATATAGTTCCCAACTGAAACATAACTAAATTTAGCTTTGCTTCATATTAGCTTCAATCTACTTCAGATTAACCAAACCTTTTGATCCAATTAATAATATAAATAACTCCTCATTGTAGACATTCAACAGACTTAACAAACTACAAACATAATTGATTAAACAAAAATAAATTGAGTTGAAGCTTGTCACTTAAGTGTATTATTTCACCCATAACCTTGACCTAAAAATTATGTTCCTATATGTACCTCTCCAAGCAAGGATCAAGATCATTTAGAGCTATTCCGAACCAGATCATAAGATTTGGATTGTATAATCCTGGAACTATTCATCATAGGATGAGTATGTTAACACGTTATAAATAAAAAATCAGAGCATTCCTTGAACAACTTAACCAAGATAAGCTTGTCCTTCCATCTTAAGAATTCTGTTTTCTTTCAATAAAACATGCCATGTAGAGACTTCTAATTATATATATTTACATTTCTGTTCTTCTACACATAACAGCCGAAAGCTCTGCTTAAGAGTTCTTTTATTTGTATGAACTTGTTTACTATTGGCTCAAGCCTGACAAATGTTCTTGAAATAAAGAAACAAGTCAGCATTGCACACAGATGTATACCCCACAAAAGAGTATTCCATGCTAGCATATCCCTTGGTTCTGGACTTCAGCTGATCAAAGAAATCCCCGACCATCTGCACTCAAGCAGAAGAAATATTGCATATAACCGACCTTAGCCAACAATACAACATGTAAAAAAATGCGAACATTTGATTGACAATTAGTCACTGGAAATAAGAAAATTCGTTGAGAATACAAGTAAGAAGCCTGTAAAGCATAAAACTAAATTCAATCATGGAGATGAGACCAGTATCTGCACTTCTGAAGCTTCTATATTTATTTTATGCAATAGTTCATCGATCAATGTGGGAAGAAAAGAGGTACATTTATGAAAAGCCTCAAACAGAAAACTAAACATCTAAGAACAAGGCTTATCTTAAATAGATAGAAGAATGTAAGAATTTGGCCATCTTGCAAGCATGATAACAGAATAGTGAATTTCCAAGACAAGTACCTCAGCAAGTGGTAACTCGTAGATGAGGGAGGCTCTATTCTCCGTGATATAGTTCATTTCTTTAAACTCACCTCTTCTTTCTTGACCAAGTTCCATAAGAGAGCCTATATATTCCTTTGGAGTAAGCATTTCAATCTAGGAACATAAACTTGGATCAATAACATTTTTGTAATATATCTAGAAAGCACTAATGCTGTTAAAGCATCCATTCTTAACCATAAATGAAAAATGATGGGTCCAAAAGCAACCTTAACAAATGGTTCTTCAATTGATCTTCTCTTTCCAGGTTCTGGAAGTAAAGATGGATTCGAGCACTCAATCTATACAAACAAGAAAAAAAAGGCTAGAGTTTAGCTTGCTTACAACATTAAGAATTTAAGAGTATGAGGATTGTGCCACAAAGTTATCTAAAGACAAGTTAGCATGGTTATATTCTTATGGAACTTCTATGTGAAGTCTACATTGCAGTTGTTCAAAACAAAAACTCTGGCAACCAATACAAACTTTTTATCAACCGAGATCCACTATGGCATGACAAAAACAATAAAGCAATTTTCTGTTTATTTCCTTCTATTTATCTGACTTTGAACCTTTTGTTCTCTCATTAATATGGCCACAAACCAAGGTTCTAAATATCAGGCACACTTGGTACAGGTATTTTACCAGTCTGACAGAGGACTGCCATGCAGACCCAGGTGATTTCGTGCAGGCCGGTCCAAACAGGGGTATTTTCAATTTCTTAACTTGTTTAGAATCTGAAGAGCTGAAATAAAAATGTTGGCTATCAACCACAAGTTCTTAGATGGTAAAAGGAGAAAAGATTTTCAGTAAGCAACTCCTGTTGACAACTCCTCCTCTCGCTTTCCTTCACTCAACCACAACTTCTGCCTTTGTGACTGCTGCTGCTCCAGAACCCAGCTTCTCCCATTGCTGCCGCTACCTCCTCCTTGTCACAACGTTATCATTGCCACCTACTATAATACATGGAGCCATCTCCTCCTCATGCCCATCTTTCTTCTCTTCTCCTCTGCCTCTGCCCTTCTCCACCTCCTCACCTTCTTCTTCGCCTCTTCTCTTCTCCCTCTCTCTTTCATTCAGATGGTATCAACTCATACAGTGTGTGGGTATGGCAAGCATACTAGAATCATACCAGTCCAGCTGATGACTGGTATCAGCATTGGACCAAGATATCAAACCTAGCTACAAACTATTTCAACACTCTAGTCGTTTCCGTGGTTGGAGTCGATCTCTCACAAATGTTTGTAAAATGGCTGAAGGTGCTCCACCATTTCAAGATGGTAAAGCCAAATTTAGAAGACACTCAAAATTGGTGAAGCTTTCATCAATCAGGCCTACTTATTACGAATCCTACTCTTAAATGGGTTACTCATAAGCCATCAAGCATGGTTCGCCTTACTGGTCCATACCGGTGTACCGACCAGCTATCGATACAGTACATACCGAGTCAAACCGAGCGTACCAGCACATAGTATATAAAGGCATACCAATATACCGCCCATACCGATTCCCTACAGACAAGTACATACCGCCCGTACCGAGCGGTATGCTGCGGTATGGTAAACCTTGTCATCAAGCCCACATTTCTTCAAGTACTGTTCTACAACTTAATGCTATACAGCATCCCTTGCCTTTGATACTTTCAGGATTGTGTACAACTGTGAATTTAACAATTATCAATGCATATCATATTGTACTTGTATGCTGCCAGCACCTACATGCAGCAGCATCAATCAATTCTGCCACATAGAGAGATAGAGATGCTGGTATGGCACGCAACATGATACAAGCAGCCGACATAAGCACCGCGCACATTGACATGACTCCATAATGCACTGTGATAAGTGGTTAAAGGGCTCACAAAAGGTTTAAGATATTCTAATGCATGGTTTGTGCATGTAGCATGAGATTCAACATTGCAAGGTTGAAAATACAGACCTGGTAGAAACACCAAATCTTGTTGAACCAATTCGTATAGGTTGTTACAAACTTACAATACAGTACCAGTCTACCTAGAAGAATATTTGAAAAATATAATGGTTGTATCCGTTGGTATACCATGGTACCATTGGTACTGGAGTGATGAGGCTTGAATACCATGAAATTTCAAACCACCATCTATTGATCTAAACTAACTGCAATGGCATACATTTTTCATATGTCAAATTACTGATCTGCTGAAGTGCCTTTTATTCTATTTTATCTTGTAATCCTTCAAGTGCCTGTGACACATTGTTCTCTTCCCCATACGTATGTGAAACCAACTTATTTATCAGCAGGTTAAGGTTGTAGATATCTGACTATCTCAGAAAATCTGAACTACACAAGAAGTGAAAGCTTTCAGAAAATGAAATTATGATTTCAAATATTGATCCATTAGTTAACCATGTAAATGATAATTTAGAGTTTAGACGATTATTTATTGTCAATGAACAATGTCTAATGGTACAATATCTTGTAAATTTGAAATAAATTGTATAATAAGATAACCTAATTGAGTAAGCATATTGTGGAGAAAAGGTTCTAGTTAAACTAGTATTAAGAGGATCTTGAAGAATTTACAATATCACCATTTGCACAATTGACTCGGTAAACAACACTTGGTGCAGTTGTTATCAAGGTCAAGTTGTATTCTCTCTCAAGCCTTTCCTACAAAATAAATCAATCAGTAATTAAAAATCATATTGTTAAACACATCGAACGCATTTGGAAAAGACCAAGTTACAAGAAATTTGACCAAACCTGAACGATTTCCATATGGAGTAAACCTAGAAACCCACACCGAAAACCAAAACCCATAGCACTTGAAGTTTCAGGTTCAAACTACATTTAACCAAGCAGACCAAAGTTCAAAATTATATAAATGAGTTTTTATAGTAATGCATAAAGCAATTTGGAAACAAATTACAAAATGACTATACAAAACAAAATAGGTCAATCTAAAAAGGTGTTGAATAAATGTTGTAGTCAGACGAATATTGTACTATCTGATTCCTTTCTTGAAAAAAAAGAAAGACTTTTATTTTAAATTGTTCTCTAAGATAAACATATGCTTGAAAATTATGTTTTGCCTTGTCAAGGAGAACAATTGAGTTACTTTGGTTATGACCCTATTAGTCAAAAACCTGCATGGACACATTCAAAAGTACAAGCTTTGAATTCAAACAGATAGTTGTCGAATTGGCTCCATGAGCAGGGCCATCCCTAAGGTCAAAAGGAGTGGTCTTGCAAAACCAGACGAATTTGAACAATTAAAATTGATTCATAAAGTAGACATGTATGCAATAACTATGAATTGGAAATATTCAATCGATAGTTGATACATCTAGTGGACACATGGAACTATTATACACTCACTCCACATGTAATTCAATAGCCAAGAAGAAAGTAGCTACACCCCCTGAACTCCATTCTTTAGTATGATGACCAGGAGTAAAGAGAAAATTGAGAAGGACAAGAAGACAACGATCATGGAAACGTTGTCATGATTGCAACAAGACTTTTGTTCATCATCTTCAAATGTTAAATTGAGATGTCAAGACCAAGCTTCTGATCATCTTCTCATGGAAGGCCGCTACTTGCATGGCTGCACATTAGATTGTGACAAACCTTCCTACACATATACTAGCATGGATGCACATATTACTTTCTTCTACAAATCTTCCTACAAACCGATACTTCAAAATCTAGCATGAGTGACAAACCAGTTCGGATTGGTTATTAGATTTGTGATTGAACCAACGTTCAACAGTGTACAAAGGAGTTAGAGGTTATATGGTTTAAACTTGATTAAAGAGTGACAGGGTTGGTTAGAGGATCTGACAAGCAAGACGGCAAGGGAAGAGATGGCAGCTACCTATTTATATGGTGAAGGAGATGGAGAAGCTCTAACTACCATCCTCCTCCCATATTTTATCTTCAACGATGGCTTCCTTTTGGGGAGTAGGTACATGGTGAAGGAGATGGAGAAGCTCTAACTACCATCCTCCTCCCATATTTTATCTTCAACGATGGCTTCCTTTTGGGAAGCAGGTACCGCCTATTGTTAGAGGTTGTAAAAGAAGAAAAAGATAAGTGGTTGACGATGAGGAAAAAAAGAAGATACGGAGTTGCACCACCACTTATCCAAAAAGAAAACATTTTTTTCTTCCAAACCCATCTTGTTGGTACATCTCTTCTCAAGTGATTGAACTCCAAGGCTGTCAATCTCAAGAGGCGCTCAGGTTTCACTTGATGGGGCCTAAGTGAAGTGTTCAACTGGGCACTGCCTAGTTCTCTCTGTGGTCAACATCGACTGTTGTCATCCTCTTATGCAGGAGGGATCCAAACCTAAAAAATAAGATATATCATGACTCATGACTCATGAGCATACTTATACCTTAGAAGTTGGAACTAGAGCCCAGTTCATATGTAATGGAAAGAGAAAATGTTCAAGAATGACAACCAAAAACAGGTCTAGATTGGTTTGCAAAAGGAATTAATTGATAAGCCAGATCAACAGAAAAGGTAAAGGTCATAACAGATGTGACCAGAGTAAAGTGGCTAACCCTAACGAATCACATAACTCAATTTTTGTTACAATAATTTTTTCTTTACATAAAAGACTTTTTAGTTCAACACTGGACCAACTTGACATTTTTCACTAGTGAATGGCCAAAAGCCCAACCTAGTTTCAAAACATTGCATGGCATGACTGACATGACATATCGTAGAATGACAAAAGGATTGCATGTGCCCAATCTGGTATCGGACAAACATATGATATGCAACATGCTGTACCATGTCATAATCAACACATGCCTTCATATATTTGTAGCACACAGCATCACCAATGTCCCATGACATATTATATTTTCATGGCATGGAAAGACATGAAACAATCTTCGTTATAATGAGACCAACATTGGATGGAACAGTACTATGATGTAGTGTATTATTTGGTTGTAGTTTGCACAAATCAAGGTTCGTAATTTCGTATTGTACCGACGTTTCGAGCTTTGTTCGATATGGTACAATATGAGTGTACCGAGCGGTACGTTAGGGTATACTGCTCAATACATATATATATATAAATATATATATATATAATCAATATATAAAATTACAAAAAAAATATAATAAAAAAATTATATATATATATAATCAATATATAAAATTACAAAAAAAATATAATATATATATATATATATTGTATTTGGAGCTTTGCTCGACGTCACCTCCTTTTCTTCTCCTCGTCCCGTCAGATGAAGGAGAAGAACGCAATCTTCTCTTCATCTGCGACGTTCTGCAAAGACACCGAAGGCCGCAGACGTCTCCGACCTTCGGTGAAGAACACAGCGAAGAAGAAATCGAGTCGTCGCTTCTTCATTACCTCATGGATCGGGATCATCGAGGGAGGGCGGCACCGGATCGGAAAGCGTCAAGATTCTCCCTCTTCTTCGAGCGCCTTCTCTTTCTTCTCCCTCGATGCTTCTTCTTCCCAGGCCGCAGTCAGGTTGATATCGCCCAGTAGCGAGTGTTCCGCGTACCGATCTACTGACGGACCGGTACATACCGTCCGGTACGAGCGATATCATTCAAAATTAAAATCTTTGGCACAAATGCCCCTTCACCACTACACTTCCATTGGGTCCCTCTAGAACACTAACTCAATGTTTCAATTCTATAGGACTCTTTCAATTTCAAATATTTGAAAGAACAAAAACATATTCTCAAGCTAGTAACACATTTTGAAAAGAAATAAATACAATAGTTAGAGATGAAAAAAAATGACTCGTGAATATCCAGCTATAGTACATAGAAACTATTATAAACCTTTAATGCTGCATCATTTAGTTGAAGCTTCTCCAATGCATCACGCAACTCAGGAAACCTATTGGCAAGTTAATGAAGTAAAAAGCAATTCACAAAATTGGTACACAAGCTAGGAAGTTTCAGTAGCATAGTCAGGTAGCAAAAGGTCATTACTGATCGGCATCGACAGGAAAGAGACCACAAAACACCATCGGTGTAGCTTCCTCATATCCAGGCAAAGAGCTTGCAGCTCTTCTTCCAAAATGAGTAATTGTGTCACCAACCCTTGCATCTGCAACTGATCTAATTGAAGCTGAAAGGTAACCCACCTAAAAAGGTAGTCTTTAGGAGAATACTTACAACTAAAACAGCTATTATTGCTGACTAAGAAGGCTAAGTGAACATATACAAGTACTAAATACCAAGATAATATCAGTTAGTAGTGAATGTTATCCTGCACAAAAATGTTTCAAAGGAACTCACTAAAAATCCATAAAAAAGACCAAATTAATACTTGAAGCATTATTTCAGATCTCGGTAACAAATTTGTATAGGTCACTGGCCAGACCAGTATGGTTTCAGATTGTACTAACGAACCGATACATGGTATGCTAGTACATGCCATACTACTGAGAAGGGGGAGGACAAGGAGAACAGGAGGTGGAGGAGAACTACCAATTAATCCAATGTTCAAAAGATTTTAAATGGCAGATTTTTTATGAAAAAGAAAGGCCATTACTCCTTCCAATCCCCAATTCACTATTGAGCGAGATGAGACATGAAGTGGAGCTTACTTTGGTGGTGATGGGTGATGCAAGCAATGGCTGGACAGGATGGCCAAGCAGGCAATGGCAGGTGGTGGGCATCACGAGAGATGGGTCGCAGAAGAGATTGAGAGAGAGAGAGAGAGGGAGAGAGGCGAGAAAGAGAGATAAGCATGGTCTGCTTCCCAGTTCACATTCAGGCTGGTAAACACTGCAGGGTACATACCAAGTGACGCAAAATTAGGAACCTTGATTTGAAGTATGATGGGCTTCAACCTTCAATCAGATCTAATTTTTAGTTTTGTTTTTTACACTTTGAGCACTTTCAGTTAGATTTCATCCCCCTATTCTTTATTGGCTATTTTTTATAGTATTAGGAATGCTATTTTAATTTACATATATAATCATGAACATGTAATTTGCTTGTAATTTGAGTCAAGAAATTTGTTATGTTAATAAATTTCAAGTTCAGGGATATGGGTAAAAAGAAGTATTCTCAATATGTTTTGGTTAATAGAGTCCAAATTTGATGATTGTTCTTTTTTTTCATAAAACATATATAAAGGGACATTAAGCTGAGGAAAACTAATTACACGACTCAGTTATGAATGGAAAAGTAGGATGTCATGCTCACTCCACTCATCTCTCAGTTTGGTTTCTCTGGTTTTCTTCATTTTAATTTCTCAGTTTCCTTTTGTTCAATTATTTTCAGTCAGTATAGTCTGATATACAAGCAGTACCATCATGCCATACTGGTCCAAACAGCAACCAATAACGGTGACCAGGATTGGTTGTTTGCAGTGAATATGAATCAGTGCACTACATCATCAACTAGGTAACTTTAATCTTTATTACTATGAGCTGTATAGACTGTATTAATACCTGATATCCAACTACTGTTATAATTTGTTTTTGAAAAGCTATTTAATCAATAAAATTCAAGTTTAGGGAGTTCTACACTTCTAGATGCCCTTTCAGATGATATTTCGAAAAAGGAAAGTCTTCTATATATGTTTGTTTGTTTAGAGGGTAAGACTGAATAGAAATTGGGTCAATAAAGTATATGCTAGAGGTTGTTAAGTTGAGAAGTGGCTATGAATAATGGAGTCTAATTAATGAAAAGAAGGCTTTCATGACTGCCACGACTGTTGTGTTTGTTCTTTTTCTTTGCATATTTATAGCATCTTCCTGGCTGTTGCTTATTGTCTCCTTTCCCACCTTTCTGACCTCCAATGTCACTCCTCTTCAAATCTTTTATAATCTTTATTAATTTTGTTTGTTACTATTTGCTAAAACTCACTGTGCAGCATTTACAATACCAAAAGAACTATATTCTTGTTCTTTAAACCACCTTCAAACCAAACCTGCATGAAGTATTTAATAATTATCACATTAGGTAGCTAATGATAAGATCATATGGCAGTAAGATAGAAAACATTGAGTATACAAAAGATGAAAAGAACCATTACAATTACATAAGCCAATAAAAGCTTGACAAAAAAATTGTATGTGTAAATTTACCTCACCAACATATAGTTCATCAACTTGCATTTGATTGGGTGAAAGGACACCAATTTCATCAGCAAAATAATCCTGATTATATTAATGGGTGAAATTAATATAAAAAAGAAACATGGTAAAAGCTAGTACCTCACACAGATAAGAATGCTAAGATATTTGATTATATCGGACAACAAGCATAATGCAAAATCAGTTTTCATTTTTAGCTTAAAACTCCTCTCTTAGACTTCATAAAAGGATCCCAATAGTATATCTTGGACTCATTAAATCTTCAAGGATGCACTAGCGAGTCAATTACAATATAGTACAATTAATTTCAACATTACAGAGCTAACAAGTCAGAAATCAAATACCTACTGTATCCATTAACTACAGTACAAAATGATCACACATAAATACATTAGGTGGAACTACAGTAGAAAAATAGAAATTGCCAAGGAACTTCTTCATCCAATTTTTACAAGACCCAATAAAGATTAAGATTTCTGTAGACTATAAAATTGTCCTCTAAAGTCTAAACATCAAATGTGGCAGCTCATATGAAGAAAGATCATACACACTCAACCATTCTTCCTCTAAACATGTGATGCCCTATAACCAAGAATTTTTCTTGGGTATGATTAAGCACCATTAAGTGTTGGGCCTGTTGGCACCATCCTGTGTTGCCGTCCAACACCAATGAAGTACGCTAGTACAGTCAAGTATACCACTGGTAACAGTTGAGAGAAAAGGAAAATAGAGAGAAGATAACACCATCAATCCCTGATCTGTTTTTACTGATGAAGAGAACACCTCCAAGGCTCTAACTAACCCTGTCCCTTCATTAATCGTGGGCCAACAATCTGATAGAACGTTCATCAAAGCAAGGGGAACTGGTGGCTGACTAGATCCAATAGGTGGTGATGGGAGAAGAAAAATGTGGGAGAGAGGTTAGGGTGTCATATTACAATGAAAAGAAAAATGGCTCACAACTCACAAGTTACTGGAGATGTCAAAAACTGTTCAAGTGTTTTCACTAATTTCAATAAAAACAGAGTTTAAAGTTTAAACACAAACCAAGTGAAATCTTGGAATTTCAATTAGTCAAAATGGATACCAAGTAATTTTGCTCAAAGCTTGGCACTTATATCAATTTGAATTCCAACTTCCAACTAAATTTGTACCGCCCAACATAGATGAAATATCACAAAATGGGATCATCAGTATACATTTTATCCCACATTAGATGCTTATGTGATCTTCAATCCCACATTATACGGTTTTAAGATGTTAACATCCTAGTCATGGAATCTGGTAAAATCGCCAAAGCTTTTAAATGAGTTATTAGAATGACTAAAGCAGGCATATGGTCTAGTATCTTCTATGGGCCATGCTTCTCAATGTGAGCCAATGTCTAAGCCCAAGTTACAGTGTCATTCCTTCATTTCTTACTATTGGAATATTAGTTTATCAAGGTCTCCCCAATTAAATTTATGACACCCTCAAAATTCTAAAGGTGTCCAATGTCCACATGCAGGTGGTTGTCCCATAAAGGTATAACCATGAACAATAATGCTTCAGTATAATCTGATATGATCCAAGCAATCAAATGTCCAAATAACTTGTTTGAGTTAAGATTTCCAACATTACCTAAATTTTAAGCCAAAGTTACTAATAACAGCAGTCTTAACTCACTTATATTCCATTTTCTTTCCAGATGTGGGACGTTCAAGGTATAACAAATTACATACTTTTATTCAAGAACAGTAAACTACACACATGTTAATACAAGCACTAAATACTCAGCAAACTTTTGCCCCTAGTAATAGATAAAAGTTCCAAAAGTTTTGGGGAATTTAAGTAGCAAACAATAGATGAGCAAGATGCATTGAAGCTATGAAAAAAGGAAATCTTTGTTTCTATTAGTAACCATCTTTTGTATGGTCTATCTTTGTATGTTTTGTTTGCATATTTTGCAGATACCAAAATGTGATAAACTTAATCTAAGATTATGTAATATACAATCTGTATAGGCATTTTGCATGCAAATATCAAAATAGCTGCACTATTAATTACTTTGGTAACAAAAAGAAAGCCTACTATCTAGAAATTCATAAGAAATAGGCAGGAAGATGTCAGCCAGATTCTAAAAACACTTGATATTGATGGTCTATCCCATTATTCTTATGAATGGGTATAGATTATTGCAGTCAGATTGAACAAGTCTAAGAATATAGCATTCAATTTTTACCTTCCCACTAGCCATGAAATATATTTTATCACCTTTCCTTATGCTTCCATCAACAACCCGGAAATAAACGATCACACCTCTGTATGGGTCATAATAACTGCACAGTAACATAAAAACATATTGGAACCAACCATATGAACTAGCAAATGACAAAAGAAAAGCTATACATGTAAATATGTAACCATTTTCAAGACCACTGCCCCAAACAAATCACCAACTGGAGGTATGCTTGGAAATTCATGGTGATTAACCAACTTTTTTTTTATACTAGTTGGACTGTTGGACCATACCAGTCCATTTGACATTAACAGTCTGAGAGGGAACCAAAGTTGGACCAGATCTTACACAAGGATTAGCCTAGTAAAACTTCCAACCAACCAAATTTAAGGCTTTTTATCATTTGACAGCGTCAATAAACTTCCAACCAACCAAATTTAGGGATTTTATCATTTGACAGAGTTGATAAAACATCATTAGGGATTTTATCATTTGACAGAGTCGATAAAACATCATTAAAAAGCATGATAATGAATGACGACTGTGGTGAATGCAATGAATAATAAATGCAATAGTGCAATATCTACTCAGTTTCAAAATCATAGATACAAATTTCTTTTTTGCTTTCATCTTGGCTTCCTCTTTTCCTTCCATCCTTTTGCCAATTCTTCCATCTTCTCTTTCTTCTTTTTTGGCTATAAACTAGCTAGAGTTTGTCAAAATCAGCCAACTCCAGTTGAGTCTTCTTAATTCATAACAATTCCAATCAATTTTTGGCAGTAAGACCAAAAAATTTACCACACGTAGGGTCATCATTGGATGATACCAATGTAGACTGGGCATATCATATTGGAATCTAATGATACTGTGAACCATTTAAGAAAATAAAATATATGTGCCATATGATTTTGGCTAACTGATGACTACAAAATAAGTAATAGATGATAGTAAGTGTAAACAAAACAGTTTGTATAATCTTCTGCTAGTCATAGGTGTTATGCAAGTCAATCACGTAAGTGATAACACATGTGATATGACACACTGTCTTTTTGCTTATTATTATTATGATATTTTCTCACTTTATATTACTTGTTGCATAAATATATTGTGATGTCCATGGATATGTGCAATGAGAATCAGATCGTGATGAGATCACGATAATGAGACCGATTCACCTCTAAACACAAACCCTAAATAATTCTAGCCATAGGTTACTCAAGAGAGACAACGAGATAACCGAACAGATTGGTGTGCTATATACCCGTCCATATGATGGAGGTAGCTGGTCTCATAGCTGCTCGTGTGGGGACACTAGGGCTACAATACATGTGCTCATTGGAAAATGAGTTCACTGATTGATCCGCTCACGGAATGCTAGATGGTTGATAATTCCTTATTGTCAGACAACGATTATATCGTCACAGTGGTATACCTAGTCATTAGACTTGAGACACCAAGGATGTCCTGTATGAGTACTCCACACATTGATACCAGACTTATAGGTTTGGAAGTTTCAGATCTAGCACAACCGGTCATTGGGAGTGACAGTCAACCTTACGAGAACTATTGAGTGTCGATAGACTCTCGGTATCATGAGAGGAATATCTCATGTGTTCTTGCTCAGACAAATCCTTAACCAAAGTCATTCGGATTGAGAGAGAAAGAGTTCTCCGGGAGAATCCGATTATAGCGAGACTTGAAGAGAAACCGTATGGGTAAAAGAGAAATCCACTTTGTCAATCGCTCATCTCCATGATGTGGGTAGGTTCTCTTCCAAGCATAATCTCACCTCTTCAGTGTGATCAAATTAGTTTGCAGATAGCATTCTACCAATTGTGGCTAAAAGAGAATACAGAACATTATCACCCACTCATTTGTTGTCTTCTAGGTCAGTGAAGTTAATGGGCGTTGGCCTAGGCACCTAAGCGAGGCAACGCACGAAGCATATACCTACGCCTAGGCACTCGCTTGATTCAAATCGGGCAAGATCGAGCCAAATCACTAGATTTGGGCCCAACCTAGTTCACTGGATCTTGTTTTGATAGAACCAACTCAACGAATCTTCAAACACATACACCCCTGCACAGACACAACAAGATGACTCGTGGAAACCTAATTGACAAACTACGAATCTTCCTCTCTTCCTCTACATTGGCGAACTGCGATAAGCCGATAACAATGATGGCAGCGTCTTCCTCTCCTTTAACAAAAGGCAGCGATAGTAGTATCTTCCTGCAGCAAGGTTGTTGTCAGTATCTCTCTCTCATCCTCCTTCGTCGTCGCCCACTCCATTGCAGTCGCTAATGTCTTCCCCCCTTCTCTGCAGTACTCTTCCCCTTCCCTCGCCCCCGCACCGTCGTCGTCTTCCCTGTCTCTCCCTTTCCCCTCACCGCCAACATCTCCTCTTTTTTCGTCTCGTCATAGCTGTCTTACTCTCTCCCTATGTCAACAACCTCCTCCTCCCTATGTTGACGTCTTCCCTTCTCCTCCCTATGCCAGCAACTTTCTCTTTATCATCCTTTCACCCCCCACAACAAGCATTTTCTCCCCCTTCGCTTAGCTGTATTCCCCCCTCCCCCTCCCCAAAAATAAAGTTTCCCCGGCAGCCTCCTTCTCCTCCCAGATAGCTCCCCTCCCTCCTCCCTCCTCCCTCCTCCCTCTTCCCCTCCTAACCAACAATGATTAGGTAGCCACCCCATACCCCCTCCCTTCTCCTCGGATCCTTCATCCTAGTTCCCCTCCCAACTGACAACAACCCTCTCTCCATCCTCCTCCTACGTTTATTGTTTTATTAATATGGATTTGTACAATATAATTTGATCCTTTAAATGAATATTGTGTTACTTTTTATTTTAGTGATTATATCTATTGATCATAATATATTTTTAAAATTTTAATATTCAGGAATGCCTCACTTTACTAGAGCATCAACACCTAGCGCCTCGAATATTTTGGTACCTTGGTATCATTTAGCGTCTCTCACCTTTAACTACACTGTTCTAGGTGTTCGATCAAGTGTTTGATGAAGTGAATGTGAGGACCACTTCACAAAAAAATGTGAGATGGAATCAAATAAATCATAATTCGGATTGAATGTCAATGGCTTTAAAGACATTGGAAAATTAGGAAAAAAATAAAGATAATATAATATTATGATAATCAACCACCCTTCACCTATATCCATTAAAAGTATAGGAAGAAAAAAGCTAGATAAAGCATAGCCAACTAATTTTAATACGATAAAATCTTATTTTGATAAGAAGTCATATCATAGAGAAACCCAATGATGTAAGAAAATCATTAATATGTTAGAAGCTCCATAGACTCCTTATCGATAACAGAGAACAAATAGTAGTAAGTAATGTAAATTTTTGGGATGCAAGGAAAATAAAATTATCTTAATACACTTCTAATGCCAAAGGTTTTGGGATTGGGATGCAAGGAAAAGTTAAGTATTCTCATTTTCTAGTTCACCTTAATCGACTCCTCATATGTCCACCATCCAATTAGTCTAAAAATCTTTAAGTTTTCTTCCCTTTTTCACTTAATATTGAACAACCAAGATGTAAGTATGACTATTCTTTCTAAAAAACTCTGTCATCCCACCTGATCTCTAGAATAAACCAACCTAAGACTCTCAGATAATAGTTAATTGCTGCTGAAAAGCTAAAAGTCCATGACAATAGCATTGCAGATTACAAAGCTGACAAGCACAAGCAACAAGAACATGAAAATGAGTTCAGTAAAAATGTTCAAAAGCTAATTATAAAAGGACATCAAGAATTGCAGAATTACCTATCAAATATTAGAGCTCTGAGGGGACTTTGAGAAGTATCATTAGGAGGAGGAATCCTTGTGACAATAGAATTTAGAATTTCAGCTATACCTATACCCTCCTAGAAAAAGATTCAACCATCCAAAATTGACAGTTCTGTTAATTTCTCATTGACAAAAAAGTTGCATGCTATATTATGTCCAACATATACTTATGCAGTTTCATATTCAAACAAACAATTAAAACATGAATAAACAAACCTTCGCTGAACACTGAATTGCAGTACTACAGTCTAATCCAATAATCTGCAAAAAAAGAATATGCAAGACAATGATTGATGAAGAAGAGGAGAACCATTAGTGCTCTATGATCTATAGAAAATGTTCTATCAATTAGTGATAATAGAGTTCATACTAGAAACAATAAAATGTTCAGGAATTTGAAGTACAAGAAACAGGTACATATCCTTCACAAACCTCTTCCATCTCGCGGGCAACACGATCAGGTTCAGCACCTGGTAGATCTATTTTATTCAGAACCTACATCATAAAGAATGTATTAACAAGTTCATTATCATATTTCTGCACTCAAACCTTATATTTAAGTGAATACAAAAGGGTGACTAATAAAAAAAATTCAAAACGTAGCATTAGTTAGTTGTACGCAAAAAAATTATACTACTTGACCTAAGATGAATTAGAACACCATACTCTTTCAGGAATATAACTTCTTGCATATGCTGAATATTCTGAAATTTAAAATGCCAATAAAGAATATAATAGAAGCCTGTTGACATTAAGCACAGACTGGTTTCTACTGATTGTAGAATAAATTATCATTCAATTTTTCCACAAATTCTAACTAATATAAATTTTATATTCCAACTTAAGTTCTTCATGATACAGACGGTGTTCAAATCAAGGATAGAAATTTCGTACCGCACCAGAGTTTCGAGATTTGCTTGGTACAGTACGGTACTATATACCGAGCGATATATTTCGATATACCACTCGGTATATATATATATATTTATTTATTTATTTATTTATTTATTTACTTATTTATTTATTTATATGCATACATATACATACAAACATATACATACATACATACATACATACATACATACATATATATATATATATATATATATATATATATATATATATATATATATATATATATATATGTATACATATACATATATATTTAATATATATATACACACATATATATATAAGTAAAAAAAATGGTTATCTACGACGTCACCTCTTTTCTGCCCGCGCATAAAACAAGGTGGGGAGAATAAACCGTTTCTTCTCCCCACGCAAAAAAGGGCGACGATGAGGCATCGTTTCTTCTGCCAGCGTGGGGAGAAGAAACGTCGCCTCGACGCTCGGTTTCTTCTCCCCGTGACCCCGAGGATTCTTCGCTAACGACACCAAGGCCTCGTCGCCTCAGACGAGGAGGGAGAGCGACACCAATCTCCAAGTTCTCCTCCTCTTCTCCCTCTTCTTTCTTCTCCCTCGGTTAATACCACCCGGTAGCGAGCGGTGACAATCGATTTAGGACGGTAACGAGGAGGAAACAGCCCCAATCGACGGTATCGCCCGGTAGCAGGCAGTCTGTGTACCGGTCTACTGGTAGACCGATACGTGGTACGGGTGGTATTATTCGAAATTAAAATCCTTAGTTCAAATAACAAACTTCGATAAAAGTATAAGTGAAGTTAAAAAGATAAAACAAAAGAGAGCAAGAAGATCCCGATCTTGAAGTGCTTATCTAGAACCTATGATACTTGCGAGCACTCAGCAAGGTTAGCCGATGCCTTGTCACACCATGCCAAACATACATGGGCGTAGCCACATGTTGTGCATGTACAAGCATGTGAATAGTCACATGAGACAGAACAAGCACATTGGTAGAGGCAAACATGTATAATATACTGTGCCAACCCAAGACCAGAACAGCAATTTTTGGTAGTTCGTGTAAAGATGGTTAATATGGAAAACTTTGGCAAATGAGATACCCAAATCAGCAGAAACCGTGGTGGTGATGCATTCACACAAAGAGAGTAAAATAACAAACAATGAACAAGCATTAAAAAAATGAATTAGTTTGCATCAGGCAGAATATATATTTAACAACAGTATGGCAAAATTAATGAGTGATTACTTCATACTTTGTCTGTACTGGAAGAAGTGTCTGATAAAAATATCGACAATCCAAAAAACATGCAGAATAGTGTTTTCTAAGAATAATATCTCAGGGGATTTCATCTATTACATTCAAGAATTTGCATGTAGAACTAAATCCTTGTTGTGAAATTCACTTCATAGTTTGTAGTATGTTGTTGATTGCCAAAGAACTTACAAGTGCAACCCATACATAAGGGGAAGATAGTAAATGGAACCAATGACAAACTGCACATGGAAACTATAAAAGGTTTGGGAATTAGGCAGGTTAATCCAGAAAGTAGTCATTATATTATAGATGACATATAAAGGAATTTTGAACCTAGAGAATAGACCTCTTAGTTTCAGGTTGCTGAACAAAATAGGGGATGGTTGTTCACAATACAACCATAATAAAAGTCATGATATCAAGGCAACCAATGATTTGCAAAATTGTAACCTGATTTATCAAAATGCTACAATAATATGGTGCTGTGATTTACTAATCAAACAACATCCAGTACAAAATCATGAAGCAAACATAAAAGTGCTCTTACAGGTATGATCTCAAGGTTGTTTTCCAGAGCCAGATAAACATTAGCTAAAGTCTGTGCCTCTACACCCTGAATCACCACAATGAAAATGCTAAATATCCATCATCAGAAGACATACTTTCTATTAAAATGGAAATAAGTTTTAGTAAACTTCTTGACACCACTTCGTAGTGCAAAAGTACAACTGAAATAAAAATTGCACCTGAGAAGCATCCACAACCAAGAGGGCTCCTTCACAAGCAGCAAGGGACCGAGAAACCTAGGTACCAAAAAAAAAAAATGATAGACAGCGCTTGCTCTTTGAACTAGAATACACGTTCCTTGTCTTACATAGAAATCTTTTTTTCTTTTTTTTTAAAGAGAAATCTATCTCAAACCATGAACAAGTTGACAAATAACAAAAGATCCATTTTGTTTCAAGAGTTCTGCCAAAACAATCTTTGAAATAATAAGTTATTTACATTGCATGTGGAAAATAACTGAATGTTAGAAAATATAAAAAGTCTTATGTCTTGCTCAAGAAATATGTAAATACTGCAAAAAGACAAGGTGAGACAGATTAGGTGAAGATAAAATCCAATAACTTAATTATTTTTGAATGGTAATACAGTTCTTGATAATTCAGTCTGAACAAATTTCAAGAACCAAGTGTTTGTTGTACCTAACAGCATAGAAAAATTTGATCGTGGAAGAAGATATGCTAGCAAGTTGCACCAACTTATTGGTCTAAGTTACCCTAACATTCCATGGATGAAAATTCAGGATTTGATACTTTAAGTCAACTTATAATCTAATAATTTCAAGTTGGACTACATCTGAGCTAAGATAAGGCATGTTGGCATTACATGGATTATGTTATCCATTTCACCATACCTCATATGAGAAGTCAACATGCCCCGGGGTATCTATCAGATTAAGGCAGTAGGGCACATTGTCCAATACATACCGCATTCGAGCTGCCTACAAAAGGAACAAGAAAAATTAAATTGATATTTAGAGCCACGAAATAGATACTACAATTATAGTAAATCATCAACTGAAAACATTCAACAGCCATCAATTTCAGAGATTGATAAGTTGATACATTACTTTCACAACTAAGGATCATCAGCAAAGGTTTGGAAGGTGAAATAGGAAGACACGTGTCTCCAGCTTAGGGTGAAGAAGGGAGATTCTAGTGAGAGTGTTTGCTCGGACTAGAATCGGTGTAAAGATAGAATTATATTCTTGAAGCTTCAACTAGATGATTAGGGTGTAGGTCACCTCAATTGCAGCTACTGAGATGATTAGCTATTAGGAGGTGTTACCTTAATTTCAACAAAGAAGCAACACAAATTACAGAAATGGACATGTAGGTGATTATCTACTTATACAAAAATAGGCACAAAGGTATGTCCTATGATTGGTCCAAAAGATGGCACAAGTCATCCAAGAGGGTTGAATGCATGTACAGAAGGAAACAAATTCTAAAGTAGGTAGTCAAGTAAAAGAATGTGCCTCTTCTGGCTGCTATAAGATGTTACATTAGCAACAAGGAAAAGAACATCTTTGACAAGAAATTGTCAACTAGGAAGAATAAGAGTAGTACAAAATCATCTTAAGAGAATTTAGGCATAAAGTCAGAAAAATAAAGATTGCAAGGATATGGAATTGGGACCTGGGAAGTGTAAGAAAAGGTGAATATGTAGGTCTCTGTGTCTATGTTAGGTAGCTTGCCTGCACTGAAGCAATCAGATTTATAGTCAATAGAATTGCCTTGGGCTTGCAGATCAACAAGTCCTTAGATGTAACTATGAATTTTATGGTATAACAATTTGGAGGATAGCAGTATAGCACATGAACTGGCCTGGACATACACAAAATTTTTGGTTAGGCCAAAGATGATCGACATTAGCACCTACTCCTTAGCCATTTTGGTATTAAAAAGCCAAGATAGCCAGAGACATTTTAGTCTGTGATAGGCCCAAAGAGGAATTGGAAAATGTAGATTTTGTTGAAAGAGATCTGTAAAATGCTACATGTTCAGAAAAATTCGAAAAACACAACCAACAAAATGTCTCTACTTATTCATCAATTAAAATTTCCAGGGGACGAAATGAGGAAAGCCAAATGTCTGGGATTCTCACAGGACTTTTCATCACAAATTGGGGACCACCCCTGATGCATGTGGGATTTAAGATCTCAGAACCTGTAATCCTCGTCAATGCTTTTAGATTTTTTTTTTGCACGCCCACATATTGATTGTTCAACCAATCAGCACGAGTCTGAAGTGAGGATGCCCCAAGCAACAAGCCAAATAAATGTTTTCTTAGCAAACTCCAGATCTACAGAATGCCAATAATGGCATCATATTGGCAAGGTACATACAGGATATCCTTAATGCCCAATCTCAAGAAACTTTTTATACAAAAATAAGGAATAGTTAAGGAAAATAAAGTTGAAATTGGTCTCCAAAAGTTACAATAAAGGTTTCCTTGTCTTCTTCTGGATCAAATGGGAACAACATTATAATCTTAGATTTGAGATGGATAAGTCTTCCTAGAGCCTTTAATCAGCTAGAAAAGGAAATTTGCCTATCCAGTTTTCACCCTTCATTGTCCCTCTTTGCTCAAGTTATACAACCTTTCCTGTACACCGAATAGTTATGAGAAAATCTCCTCAGTTCCGACACTATCATTAGCTACATTTCTGTCATCAATTATCATTATTGATGAGATTTGTGTTATTCTTGTTGGCCTTTTGCCTCGATGTAGTTTCCTACAGTTTTTGCTCCATAGATACCTTCTAATTTAGAGTTCAATATTTCCCTTAGTCCTGTGACCCTATAATTCCAGAATTTGTAGTAGATTATCATCAATACTTGAAACCTTTAAATGTCTTACAAATTTCCTTGGATCCTCTTAAGCAGATTATTTAGATCTGCCAAATTCATTTGAAGGTTTACTTGTTCATTTGAGTCCGGCTCCAAGAAACTGGCATCAAGATGAAAATTTTATTCCAGTCACTCTGATCTTCATCTAACTCAAAAACTGCTATTTTTTCTGCTAAGCACAATTCTGTCCTATGGTCTTGCCTCAGATAGAAAACATAAGCAGATGACTCATAAAATGTTAGAACAAGAATTAACAACATCCAAAGACTATGCACCTAAACTTTCACCGAGATAAACAAGTACCGAACTACAGAAATTATTGGAAGTAACAACAAGATCATATTTTCTGTAGTCAAGGTGACAAAACAGAGTGTACCTGTAATTTAATCGTGATACCTCTTTCTCTTTCTAAATCCATATTATCTAAGAATTGCTCTTTCATCTCTCTCATCTGTACTGTACCAGTCAACTGCAATAGCTTATCTGCTAAGGTTGACTTCCCATGGTCAATGTGAGCAATAATACAAAAATTTCTGATGTTTGATACAGGAACCTGATCAGATTACAAGGAAAAAAAAATCATAAAGGCCAGTATGAAAAAAATCGATCAGCAAATTAATAACACAAAGTAAAAAATGTATGGTGCTAAGATTCTTGATTGATGAGTGGTCAAACAGGAAGGTCAGTCAAACTGCAATTTTTCTAAGAGTATAGACAAAGAGAAAATACTTAAGCAATAAAGCTTTGTAAAGACAATGAGCAAGTTTTCTAAGATTATCACAATTTTTCATCCAACTGCAAACTAATGCTGATTGGAAGTTCAATATACTGCAAACTTCTCATGGGCACTTTATAATAGAACGATGATAAATTTGAAATGCATAACAACCTAAAATTTAATGTTCAAGATAACTTGATTAAAGTGATAACTTTGAAGAACAGCATGGTTCCAACTCTCAAGAAGCAAGAATAATTCCGAGACAAAGTACATTATTAATAGGAACAAGAGATTTAAATTTCCTGCCAGGGGGGCATATGCCAATGGTCTACTGCCACAGGCACTATGTCATGTCAAAATGAAATGCTAGCACGCTCGGAACGATTTTACTCAATCTGCTACAATTTATTCACGAAGCTCCTAGAGGCAACCGAATCAATCTCATACGGCCTACAGCTGTCTATGAATTCAAGACGTCCAGAATCAGCAACCCAAAACCCTAGACAATGTTCAAGAAACAACATAGAATTTAGACGTTCGGGACAAAAACAAGTTGATGCGTGCCTTGAGCAGACGGTCTTGCCCGGGTTCGCCGCTGCGAACGACAGCGTCGGAAGCGGCCTTCGACTCCGTCCCAGCGGCTCGACAGCGAACGCCCATCCCCCACTGAGAGGCGGAAGAGCTGGCGGAGCGCAAGAATCTGCACGGCCGTGGCCCTGGGAAGCGGCCGGCGGAGGGAAAAGAACCGGAAGCCAGAGAACCGCCGCTCCTCCTGCGTTGTCCGGGACCGGCGGAGCGGGGGAAGAAGCTGGCCGGGCGGCAGAGGGCGGCAGCGTCCATGGCCTCAAGAAAGAGGGGGGCGGGGGTTCGAGCGAGCGGTCACGGCCAGCGCTCTATCCACCACAGCGGGGGCTATCTTTTCGTTCTCTTGAGGGGGGCGGGCGGTATTTTTCTTGGCCGCACAAAAGCACCGCAGCGGACGTGGCTGCGCATTGAACCCAAATCGAAAGCGGCTCCACCAGAAGCGAGACTTAGTTGGTCTCGAGCCCATTTCATGACCTCCTCGTTTATTTAATAATTTAAGTTAAATTAATATTTTAGATAAATATTCAATTTATCACACTAAAATTCCAAACACTGTTGTGTTTTTTTTATTAGTTTTTACGAATTTTACTTCTCTCGTTCAAATATTACACAATTCATACTTGAAATTAATAAAGCCAAAAAATTATATAAATTTTGTTAGATGATACTTTATATTTATTGATAAAAATAATTAATATATATAATTACAAGTTCTCTTTTTTTTATTTTTCCTACTGTCTCTCTTATTTCCGGTGTGCACCATAAAAAACACAAAAGCATTTTTTGGGTGTTCATAGCTTACCTGTCTCACCTATGTTGTGATTGGAGGTAGTTGTGGGGCCAATCGGAGGAACATAAATAGTTTTAGTGATTGTAACACGAGACCTCTTAATTATTTATGATCCTACCAAGTAAAGTAACATTGCCCAAATCATAGCGTAGCAGCGAGATCACGACATATCGATCATCATAGACCATATATGGATTATAAACCATGGATTTGTCTGATAGATTCTTCTTAGCGGAGAGCTTGAGCTATGATCTTGAAGTCCTCAAAGCTGACCGCTCCGTCACCGTCCGCGTCCAAGCTAGCTATGATTTCCGTGCAGTCCTCCAGGCTCGCACCATCCTCGCAGCTCAGCACCTGGAACAGAATCTCCGCCGTCACATCCCCGTCGTCCCCCGCCGCAGGACCCAGCAACGCGGCGGCGGTCTGGAGCAAGCCAGCAAGGTCGCCCGGGTCCAGTTCGGCGGCGTTCATCTCCAGGAACTCCTCCATGCTGAGCAGGCCGTCCTTGTCCGCGTCGCCCCGCCTCATCATCTCCCTCACCTCCTCCGTGGTGGGGTTGTACCCGAGCGACGCCATTATCCCCTTGAGCTCGTCGCAGGTGATCAGCCCGTCGTTGTTCGAGTCGAAAGCTCGGAACGCCTCCATCATGCTGTTGACGTAGCTCAGAGTCTCGATGTCTCCGGCGAGGGGCCTCGAGTGCGATGACTGAAGAGGAGCCATGGGTGGAGGCGATGACTGCACAAGCGGTGGAGGGAATGCTTCTGCTTAAATGGTGGCTGTGTGAATCTGTTCTCTGGTGGCTTTATGTCAACATAAAGGACAATGATGAAGCTTCTTTTTGGCCAATAATGCTAAGTGATAAGAGGAATATGCACATCCATGGAACTCATCACCAGCAACAAAGCACAGAGTTCACTGCCTTAGCATGTGATCTGAGCTAACAAAACAAGAACAGTACACTGAGCTGCTCTGCATGCCATCTTTGAGAGTTGGATATAGAGAAGTGCGAAGCTTTCTTTGGAGTGGCCATCAGAATCTGATACTAAAGATGAAAAGACAACCTTAGATGAATCCCCTTTTTTAGATTCTGTAAATGAAGTTATTAACTGATGGCAAAATTATCACACTTCATTTTCCATTGTAAAAGAACAACTTGAGAACATGATAAGAACTGCTGATAAGTAGCCATTGCAGCACATCAGAAGGAAACACAGGCGGTTCCAATCACTTTGTCTTCTACAACCCAATAATCTTAGAAAACAGAATTGCTTACAGTCCAAGTAGAAGTCTTTCTTGCTAATTCCAAGAAAACAACATCTGTCAGTAAAGCAGAAGCCAATAGGTGTTATGTAATTCCAAGATATTGTTTTCTGAACATTTTCTGGAGAGCAATAAAATACATTTTAGCAAGTAGATGCAAGAAAATTAGATATATGCAATTAATAATCTCATGAATTATGTGAACTATCTCAAATCTGGATTGCAGAATGGTAGTAACTGTGGATTCATATTACACCACCAAGGGACAAGTACCTCATCTGAGTCCCCATATCTATGAGCTTGGTCTAATTAGCCTAACTTGGACCAGCCCAATGCAGAACAAAAACTGTGTGAATCTCCTAACCACATTCAAATATATGAGGCAAACAATTAATTTTCTTGATGATTCACTTGATGCAGCTTAATTTACTATTTACCCTTTAAAAAAATCTTAAAATATCATTTCTTTCATTGTATCGCTGAAACCTTATGTATTAGGAACTATCATATGACTACCAATTAAAATATTTAAAATAGTAACTAAAATGATTTTCTATAAAATTTGAACTACCGCTATCGATGAATATTATTGACGTTTCTAACATCAACGGCTAGCAAATGTCATAACTACATTATTATCATTACCATTAATACTATCATCTCATTAGTATCCATACGAACGTCATCTCCACTATCCCTATTATCATTATTATCATCATACTACTATCATTATGGATCATTCACTACGACCATTGCCACTATCTACTGAATGCCACCGGCCATCACGATCACTATCAAAGAGCTTCTAAAAAGAAAGAGTAAAGAAATATTATCGAGATTTTATCTTTTATCTTTTTATTTATCTTAGGTACTTTAAGAAAAATGTGTGAGTCGAACGAAAAAAGAAAAAGCTTGCAGTTTGATCTACCCATGCAAATAAAGAGAAAATGATTTAATCGGAAATGTTAAATAAGAAAAAAGATGATTGAATGAGACATGAATAAAAATATTCATGTGGAGATACATTGAGATCAAAAGAGGAATAAACAATAATTTCACATCGATAAGGATTAAAAGAGGAATAAGAAAACGATAAACTTAAGTTTTGTGTTGAATTGATGTGAAATCTGATACATATTAATCTTGACTAATTTGATTTAGATCCACTGATTTTAATATGGTACAAAAGTCAACGTATTTGAATACAAAAAGTGAGTCAAAAGAAAAAAAAAAAGATGTTAATTGAGAAAAATTAAAATAAAAAGAGTAAGAGAACAATAATGGTTGAAAGAGTTCGTGTGATATATATTGTGTTTAGTTCGCGTGATATCAATCGTGAGGTATGTTGACACCCCAGTGGCCAATCGGACAGCGACAACGAAGATCCAAAAAGGCAGAAGACCAAGCGGCGGCGGCATGGCCGGTGTCGCAGCTTTCCGGCGGACACGGGCAAGCAGCGGCCATGTGCAGCCCACGTCGCGGAAACGTGCGCTCCCCTCTCCCCGTCTCTTTCCTACGATCTTGGAAGTCGCCGCCAGCCGCTGAGGAGAGCTAAAGGTCACACGACCTATGCATGCACAAAAAGGGTTGTCGTCGTCCGTGAAACTCATGCATGCAGTCCCCACGGCCCCCTCCCGTGGCCGTTTGGAGCCACGAAAGGCCACGCCAACTCTTTGGACGCCATTAGTGCATGGAATCCGCAGCTACTCGGCATAAAAATCTCATTCTTAGCTGCTGTTCCGCTGGTAGCCACCGACTTCGTAAGCGTTCTCGAGGAGGAAGGATTGAATATCAATTCCAGCCACATGTCTGGTTGTCTTGTTGTGAAGAGAGAGAAAGGAGGTAGGTTCTTCTTGATGTTCATTTCTGAACACATTATTGATCAAGCAAAAAGAGCATGTATTTTAATGAGCAGATCACTGTCTTTACCGATGTTAAAGAACTAGCACAGATTGCAAGGAAGAAAAAACATAATTAATACAGAGATGATATCATTCCTAGGTTATGGGTTACAATACGTTATGATTAAGATTGATAATTATTTTAATATTTTTGAAGTCAATATTTAAGATAAATAATCTTAACATGAAAAGTAATATAATAATTAAGATTTGATTTTTTTTATAAATATTTTATATATTTTTAGGTCAGTGAAGGATGTGAGAAATACTTTTGACAGTTCTGCAATGGATTATAACAATGGGAACTGCTGCACTGCAATGATTCCAACAACAAATAATATTTAGTATAACATAACATATATAAATCTTAATGCAATAAATGATCTAATACAGATAACCCTCTTCCTCTCCAGTCCTCTCTTACCTTACTTTGGATAGGATGGAGTTAAAGGAAGAATACATATGTACATGTAATTCTACACTGGGCGGTTGATCCAGGTTCATCAACCTCGACCACAATGAATACGGCAGAAGAGACTGGAACTGCCCTCGGAGGCACTGCGCAGGTTGGCGTTCAGAACAGCAGCAGTGAATTGGCAGTATCGTACTTCATCTTCTCCAAATTGGGCACCACCGCGAACTGGATCATTGGCGGCGGCCCGCAGGCGAGCGCGAGCGTGTCGTCGGACCCGCCCATGGGAATGTGGTCCCTCAGGATCCTCTCCGTGACGAAGCCCGTGCTGTATCGCCACTCCCCCCGCTTGGCCTCGTTGATCACGTACCACACCTTGAATTGCTCCGGGTGGTCCCTCGCCCAGCCGTCGAGCTCGTCCCACAGGAGGATGTCGTCCTCCGACCGGTTGGCGTACACCAGGTGCATCTCGGTGCGGTCCTCCGGGTCCCGCAGAACCGCCTGGATCACCTGGTACACCGGCGTGATCCCGGTCCCGCCGGCGATCATGGCCAGCCGCTTGGCGAACCGCGGCTTGCCGTTGACGACGAAGTTGCCGCGGCCGTTGTATTCGATGTGCCCGACCGGACCCTTGATGTCGAGGGTGGAGCCGAGGGTCAGGGACTCCAAGTGCTGGGACATGAGGCCGCCGTTGGGGAACTTGGGGTTCTCGCCCTTGAAGTAGACCTTGATGAGGAGCTCGAAGTGGCCGACCTCGTCGACGGTGCTTGTGGGCGTGTAGGGGCGCATGCACAGCTTTCCGTCGATGGTGGCGCAGAGGAAGATGTGCTTTCCGATGGGGAGGCCCAGCACTTGGTCCGCGGAGGGCAGCGCAAACTTGAAAAGACGAACGTCGTGCGATATGGTCTTCTTGGCCACGAGCTTGCACTGCATCTTCTCCCGGGGGTTCACGAGAGCCGGGGGCCGCGAGATCTCGCGGATGGTGGCGAGATGGGACAGCTCGGACCCGCCATGGACGGAGGTGTCGGAGACGTAGCCCGAAGGGATGAGCTCGCCTATGCGGTAGGTGTCGAGGAGGGCCTTGGCCTTGTCCGAGTGAATGGCGTCGAACTCCTCGGTGCAGTCGGCGCCGGCGTTGATGAGGATGCTGTCGGCGCCTCCGGGGTGGTCCTTGACGAAGGCGGTGCAGTCGTAGACGTGGCCATGGACGACGATCCACGCGGACTCGCGCGACGCGTGCTTGCGCACCTCCGACATGGTGTACTGCTTGCTGGAGGTGTTCATGAAGGGGGTGGAGGTGCTCTTCTTCAGGGTCGGGGCCTCCGACGTCTCGAGGTGCTTCTGCCGCGCCATCCACCCGCCGGACTGGTTCCCGGGCTGCGTCGGGTGCTCGAACACCAGCCCGATCTCGCCCTTGTGCGGGCGGCACACGTTCACCTTCACCTTGAACCAGCAGTTGTTCATCATCCCCTGCATCACCACCACTTCTTTCCTCAGCATTCATTGTTAACCTTAATACAACGATTATATGAAATCTATGAATCTTCCTCTGGAAGAGATCTACTAAACATACCATGACGTTCCAGATGAGCTTCTCGGGCTGGGTATTGAGGGACTCGTCCCATGCTCGCACAGCCACTTCCTTGGAGCTCAGGACATCCAACACCTCCACTTCCAAGGACCAGAAGCACCAGCACCAGTACTTGCCGTACTTGTTCGGCTTCTCGGGGTGGTCGAGGGCGCAAACCAGCCACGTCTCGCCGCCGTTGAGTGTCACCTCAACCCGTGTCACCTTCCTTCCTCCACCTATACGTCAGATAACAGTTCGCATCACTATACTAATTGGAGCAAACCATTTGAATCCGACCAACTTTTGACTCCACCATTAGAAAGAGAGAATTCAATTGAACTTACCGGAGTAGGCGTAGCCCTTCATGGTATACGGCCTCTGAGTCGTGAACGCGTTAATAGGAAGTATCTCATCGTGACCCGGCGTCGTGATGACTGAGTTGATGTTCAACTCGTTGATGATGTATTCCGGCTTGTACCACCAAGCTGTGGTCGTATATTAGTCTCTAATTAGGCGTCTCGTGGAAGACATAGAATGTGATATGAACGTGGTGGAGAAGGCATACCTTCTGCGTTGGCGAGCTCAGCGTCGACGTGGGACGGGAGGACGCGGTTGTCCTTGTGATGGTAGTAGCTGTTGGACTCCTGCGGGGCGACGATGATGCGCTTGAGCCACTTGACCATGCGGCCGCCGACGAAGCCCGGGATGATGACGCGCACCGGGAAGCCGTGGTCGGGAGTCAGCAGCTCGCCGTTCTGCATGTACGCGAGCATGACGTCCCTGGACGGGTCCATGGCCACCTCGCGCCGGAGGCTCGTACCGTACTTGGAGCCGCCACCGCCGGGGAGGTCCTCTGCCCCCTCGAAGCACACGAAGAGGGCGCCGTCCTTGCGGCCCATCACGCCGCAGCGGCGGAGCACGTCGCGGAGCCGGACGCCGCGCCACACGGTGGTGGACACGGCCGCTGGGCCCCAGTTGAACCCGATGGTCTGGTGCACCATGTTCTGCTCCTTGCGCCGGTTCCCGGCGCAGACCAGGGTGACTGGGATCTCGACCGGGGGGAAGTCCCGGACCAGCTCGTCCATGGTGAGCCGGACCGGGCGCTTCACCAGGCCGGTGATCTCTAGCGTCCAGCTACGCCACTTGGCCTTAGGTACCGCTCCGTGGTTGCGCACGTAGTGGAGCGGCACCGGGGTGATGAACCCGTAGTGCATGAGCCGGGTCAGCGGCGGTTCGCAGTTGAAGGGGTGCTTCCCAGTGAGCCGGATCAGGGACGGGTTGCGCTCGATCCAGCTGTCGGCGGTGCCCTCGTCCCTCGGGTCACGCACCGACGGCTCCACCTCCAAGTGCCTACCACCGTACAACTTCGTCCAGTCGACCACCACCTCGTCCTCGTCCTCGTCGTCATCGTCGTAATAGCGAGTACCATTGTCTTTGCCAGGGGCGAGGGGAGAGAAGCTGCACCCCCGAACGGGGGAGTCCGACCGGTGGTGGGTGCCGAATTTTTTGCCGACGGCGCGGACCGGGCTGACAAGCCCATTGCGCGGCTCCAGGTGACCGAACTGCCGGTTGTCTACAGACGCCGCCATGACAGGAGAGAAGAGGGTCCTCTTCAAGTGCTCGGAAAGCACTCAGAAGAACAGAGAGAGAGAGAGAGAGGAGGAGGAGGAGGAGGAGGAGGACTCCAACTTGTGTTGGGTGAGCACGAAAGGTGAATGGAGGGGGTCATATATATATATATATATATATATATATATATATATATATAGCATCATCGATGCGACTAATTGATCCAACACTTTCTTCTCGCAAGAATTAGTGGATGAGCTCGAACTCGTCGTGAGCGGCAAAACTGAGCTCGAAATCACAATCTATCGTCAAAATCTGGTGGCGATCGATCGACGCCTTTGGAAGCGTATCCAAAGCCAATACCGCAGATTTCTTGTCCAAGAAACAACAAAGAGAAATCCAAGACGCAACGAATCTGCTTTGGGTCCGTTTGTCTCTCTTGCATTTACTGCTACGACGTGAAATATTTCCGCTCTTCGTTAGGACAGCCTCCTCCAATCAAAAGCCATAAATGGCTGCTCGATCAACTCCATGACTTCTTTTTCCTGTCATCTCTTTTATGGTGAAATTAGAATTCATCCATCCATCCATCAAGACATCAAATCACCATATGATGACCGAGACAAAATGTATGCGCCATTGCAACTATCCAATCATGCTTTGAATAAATATGTGGAGTTAAAAAGGTCGATCAAATCCAACATCAACAGTTTCAATCGAAAATGTGACGAAGAAAAGTTGAATATAAAACATATATAATCATCGTATAATTACATACATAGTGGTATTTGATCCAATGGAAAATTGGTGTCACTCTCCTCCTATAAGAATCATTAAGGCTAAGCAGGGAAGTTAACCCATGAGATTAGCAAGATATTTGCACCTGATATGCACGTGGAGAGGAAGTAAAACAAAAGCCTAAAGTATAAGTGCCTTTGTAAAGGTTTGTCTTCCACTTTTACGGATGGCATGCACATATGCACCTAAAGTTGAATCAAGGTATGGTCCCATCCATGATATTTTCTTGGATCTTTTGATGTTCTTGGTCATTTTGATGGTAAAAATCTCACAACATATATAGATAAAGAATTCGATACGTAATGATCAAAAAAATAATCTATTTATCTTTTAAAATTTTCAAGGTTACCATAGATATTTTAGCTATAAAGAATAAATATTCTCTTATTTTGATGATAATACAGATTAATCAACTGTTTTTATAGAAAAAATATATAATATAGTATTGATAAGATCATTTAATTTCACATTGGTTGAGGAGTATGAGAACCAATGCCTTATAAGTCTGTTAGGTCTCTCTTACCCTCAGAGGCGTCTTTTAGAATTATATGTTTCGAAAGGACAAAACCGTATGGATATATCTATCGTCCAAAAGCAAACAATTTTTCGAGACAAAATTGACATGTCATGTAAACAAAGAACTTTGTACTGATTTAAATTTAAAAATAATGATAATGAACTAATTAATTTATTGAGTCTGAATCATGTAGATAAAATCTTGATAATAAGAAATTGAAGAAATATGATCTAAATTTTTACAAAGATTTTGTATATCAATTAAGATCTTATGTCAACTTAAAATCTTCTCTCATGCGGAACTAAATTGAGGTATTATAATCGACTTGCAATCAAATTTGATATTTCAGGAAAAAAATAAAAAGCTTACATGGATGAGTGGGTCCCAAGAAAACCAATCGTCAACCCATGACTTGCTGGCATCATAATATATAGTAGGGCTAGTAGTCCATGTCACATACTTTTCCTTCACAATGGCCATACCCTCTAAAAGTGCTGATAAACTGTAGCCAAAAGCATATTCGTAGACATAAAAAAGTCATAGCCATAGCCTCATCAACTTGGGAACATTAACTCGATCACACCATATATGTTTTCCTCACCTAAAAGTGATCTCTTGTGGTCCATATGAAAGAATATATACAGTGTATGCTTATAATTCCTCTAATCAACTTGATCTTTATGTGACACTGTCATTATCATCATCAGTCTCCTTCACCTTGCATCACAGTAAGAAGGCGATTTCTTCATGTTTTTATTTGACCAAGGAGGTCACTTACATCTAAGGAACATGAAATAATAAACATAAGATAAAATATATATGTTCGCGTTGTTCTTATGGCAATTTATAACAGTGGCATTGCATTCAAGTGGAAAGTGTGGGGGAGTTGTGGTTGGATCAAACGCTGGCTTTGGTATATGATAATTTTTTGTTTGATTTGAGGCGTTGTGTGATTAGGCTGTATGATAACTACGTGAGTGGGGGAGCAAACTGGCTGTGAAGTGGCGAATCGGAGCTCGCCTCGGCTTGCGTTCTTCCAGGCGGCTCATCGGGCTCCAAGCGGTGACCAAAGTCCCGACCCCTCGCCGAAGGGCCAAACCTGGAATCCCGACCCTTTGCCCAAAGGCCAACCCGAAGCTTCTTTTCGTTTTCGCATCGGCCGAGTTTGCTCTCTCTCTCTCTCTCGTTTGTTTTTTTGCTGGCAGGGCTGCCTGGAACAGGAGAGGAGGGGCCGAGTGGTGGTGATATTTTAGCAGGAGGACGATGTCAGCGTCGGAGAGAGAGAATCACTCATCTCCAGGCTCGCCCGGTGTCACAATCTGAGGGGTGAGGACAAATGGAGATGGATCACAAGTTACAGTTGGGTTTCGGGTTCGGGTTTGGGTTTGGCTTAGATTTGGGTTGGGAACTCGAGGAGGAGATCATGCGCCAACGATGTTCTCCAATTTATTTTATTTATAATTATAATATGATGGCATAAGTTTTTGATCGTACAATTGAGATTTTATAAAACAAAGAGGATGTTAAAAATATATTTGATATGATTTTCTTTAGGCAATTTACCATAAAAAGCTCCTCGTATTGTAATTTTAATCGGATGATACCCCTATATTTCATTTTTGCCATGAAATATTTTTTAAAAAATTAATAATACCCTTGAATCGAGTTATTTCAAACTATATATTGCGGGTTGATTTAATCCAATTTGAGTAATTTGGATTAGATCCCTTTAAATCAGGCTGTGTACGATAACGATGGTGATAGGACGTATTCTAGCCCTATGTGAATCACCGATAAATGCTGCAGACCAACGCGACATCGTACGCCTCCAGAACCGCTGGGTGCACGCCATGTCAAGCTTCAACGATGCGACTATGCGGCCTGACCACCCCAAGAGCTAGAGGCGATGCCGCCTGCTGTTAGAGCAGTGTCGTCTAACGTTACTCGAGTACCCTCGAAGACGTCATCTCGTCAGAGAGATTGTTCCACCCCTAGAGTCAATAGCCATGCCGGACCAGGGCCCGACCAATTCCCGCACGCATGTATAAATACCTTCGACCTGATCTAGAAAGAGAGAAGAAAAGAAAAGAAAGGAAAAAAGGGAGGAGATTTAGGACGAATCTAACTTGCTCGTCGGATGGGCCAAAGTCAGGACTTACTTGACGAGGGCCGTTTTGCAGGGAGGTGATCGTCGCCAAGCCGCAAATACCTTCATCCTGAAGACGACGCTCGGTATGCAGAGGAGGGTGGCCTAACGAGTCGAACCCGACTAGTATCAGCCCGCATCTCCCATCTCCAGGAGGCTCCCACATCACAAGGAAGATCACCAACCATCCGAGGGGGTGAGAGGATGCATCTTCCCACGAACAATGCTCATATCGGTCGACTCTGGAGTGCTGGCCCGCAGTGAGGCTCAGGCCGACCTTGCCACCTCAATCGGCGCCCGAGACGTTTGAAGGGCACGACCACTCCATCAACTCAATAATTCCACCAAAGGTTCTCGACGTCGGCGGGTGAGCCTAACCGTGCTGACTCATTAATCACGACACATTTGTTCACCAACAAATGGATCAGGTCAAATTATGTTAAATTTATGAGCGAATATAACACGAGTATAATTGGAGTGTAACCAAAGTATTTTCATCAAAACAATTCAAAATTTTCTAGAACCATTGGTATATCATTCTTAGATATTTAGTATCATTTTTTTAATTTCTTATTTTATGGTGAATAATTTAGAATAATTTTATATAAAAATTAATATACTTTTTAGTATAACGTGAGTCTTTTAGTTTAATTATAAATTTAAAATTTTTATATAAAAAATAATATATTATAAGAATATAACTCGAGTGTAATGATTAATCTTGATAAAATATGAGGAGAATGAGGAGAGGATGAGAGAGCAATAGAAGAGTAAAAGAAAAAAAATATGAGGAGGAGGAGAAGAAGCATAAGGTAGATGAGGGAAATGGAGAGGGAGAGGGGGTGGAGGTGGACTGTGAGGAGGAGGGTAGAGGGAAAGGATAAGGAAGAAGAAGCCAAGAGATAGAGAGGAGTGACGAAATGGTAGGAGGAGGTGAGAGTAATTTGGGAAGTGGGATAATTTAAGAATAAAAAAGAATAATTTAGAATTTAACATAAATAAATCAAATACTCAGATTAAGCTAGTCTAGTCCGATTCATGCCAAACAAATCGATTCAACCTAAATAACCCAAAGTCAATGGACATCAATTATCTTTTGTTTATTTTATAAAAGGTGTTTTGATTATAGTAGGAAAAAAGAAGTGCCAAAATCTCATTATTGAATTTTTTTTTTATAAAACACTCATTTTCTTTCACTGTTCAGGTGAAATAATTTCAAAAAAAAGAGAGAAAAAAATTAGAAACTTTGATATCATACTAAGATATCCTTTTTATATACCATAATAATAATAATAATAATTTCCTCAAAGAAAATTCTTTAAATTTAAAATGATCATTAAAAAATATTTCTTGTTTTAATATTCATCTTATTATTTTGATTTGAAGATAAGATATCCACAAAATATATAGCGGTTATTTTGGACTAATATTTGCTTACATGAAGGTATCAACTAGTTTAGTTGATAAAGAGGTTAACAACGTAACCCAATGTATTGTATTCAATTTTGTTACGGTAAGTAACTTTTTTAACCGTGACCTCGGAGTCGACGCGACTGGTTCAGGGCTCCAAATGGTTAGGATCAGACACGGCTCCCCTTGGGATCTTGTGGTGACTGATGCAGGGGATCTGGCTGGGAAGTTCCACGGTGCCAAGCAGGTTCTGCTTCGGTCGAGTACCTGCACACAGATCGGGTCGGTGGTTCAGCCCAACCCCTCCGACGATCAAGTCAGTGATGTGGAGTGGAGTTTTGAGCGAGATCGTGTCCCCCCCTTGCCCGTTGGGAGCCAGGGGGTATTTATAAGTGGGTCTGATGTTACTTGATGTGCCATCCTGCTGGAGCAGGGCCGTACCTCTGAGGGCGTCTGCAGTCGTCGTGGGCGTTGCGTGGAAGGCCGAGCTGCCGTAGGGTATGGAGAGTGTCAGTCGACGCCTCCCCCTACCTCGGCTGGTCATGAGGGATCGGCCGAGGAGGTCGTTTGGGTACGGTGGGCGTGGGTGCATGTCGCGTCGGTGTTAATGCTCGTTCCCTGGGGCAGTGTGCCGCACAAGGGTGACTAACGTGGGGGTGTATTACGTCAAATCTCGGGGTGTTATGTCAAATCAGTTTTTACCCCTATCAAATTTTTATCTTTGTTACTTATCTTTGTAAAAGAAAAAATCAAGATGTAATACATTTATATGCAGCAAATTGAAATGAGACAATCTGATGGTTAACTCACAAAGAATACTTGCCATAGCTTTTACAAGGATCATCGACACCAACATCCTCAAAACCATATCTCCAAAAACGTGTAAAATTTGCGAGGTTATGAGCCAACAAGTGAAGTCCGTCCTTGGTAAAGATGCCCATCGCACGACTGATGCTTGTTCAATAAGTTGCAACTTGTCAAAGAGCAATCCTTTAAGATTCCAAGTGATTACCTCAAATGCCTCATACACATTACATATCCCTCCCCCCACCCCCCCCCACACACACACGGTCATCTTCCTACTGTCTTGACCCGCACATCTCTAAGACACGCTTTACCCAAGGCAAATGTCAGATTTTTTTGTAAGGGTAACTAACTAGCATAGATGCCCCGTAAAGTGTCTGATGATGAACCAAAACAATGAGATGCATTTGTTTTGTGTTTTATCGAAATGATAAACCCTACCATATGAACCAGCAAAACCCTTGGATCAGACATATAATCTTGTATGAACCAGGCACATCATGACACTGAATTTATGTTACATAAGCAACCTGATATAAGCTGATTGACATCCTAGGGTGCATGAGAAAATGAAGCAAAAGTACAATAAAAGTTACTCAATAAAAGTACAATAAAGCTGATTGACATCCTAGGGTCCATGAACAATTAAAGAAGAAGATGAAGCACCGAGGCAGTGTAGTACAACGAAACGGAGGCTTCACACTTCTCGAATAACCAGAAGAGAAAAAAAAAAAACATTCACAAATTTAGTTTCTGCCGCACTAAAAGCATGCAGAGGAGCAGCGCATAAATTACAGTAAAGTCAGGGGGAACTACATGATGGCATACATGTTTGTCACCCCAAAACCCAAATAGATCAGTTTAAAAAGTGCACGGACAGTAGTGTGTTTTGTTTCATGATATAAATCAGTACAGAAAGTGGGGTATTTAACAATCAGCAGGCATTAATGAGTTTTATCTAACCCTAGTCGGAAACTGGCCTCGCCCGGCTCATATTCCGCCGCCGCCTGTGCCTCCTCTCAGATCTCAGAATACCTAAACGACTCCCTTGAGATGTAATAGGCGCTATATCATCATCTCCATCCAAGGAATATGCATCTACAAGATTATCATTTCCTCTTTCCGGAGGCTCCCCATTGTCCCTGTGAAGCCTCATGAGTCGCGTGGCGCTCTCTCTCAAGAAAAAGTATAGAATGCTCCTAGTAATTCCGCGATTCTCTAAATCATGATCCACATGATCATCACCAACCTCATCATCGGTGTTGAGCTCACCATTGCTCATTTCAATCACATAATCCCCGAACACCACTGACCTTGGCATTGATGACCTTATCGTGCTGATCACATCTTGCCGCTCCCTTTCATGCTCCAGCATCCTCCACTTCTGTTCAAGCACTGGATCCACCTCGTGAGGATTTGCAGAAGGGTGCTCAGACCTCACATGCTTGCTTAGCTCCTTGTAAGTCCCCACAAACGAGCAACTGTCTTGCATGCAGCTCCTCTTCTTGTTGTTGAGATATTCTCGTGCAGGATCCACCACAGTCCATCCCTTTACCTGCCCTCGGCACAAAGGACATGTAAGCTCCATAATCTCAGACTTCTCACATGCAATGGAGTGAGGCAAATTTGATCCAAGGTTAGCCACTGGATCGTAATGGGAGGGTGACATTTTTGTGTATGCCTTCTTGAATTGATCAAGGCAATTCGAGTGCCGATAGCTGGTCCCGCACATGTAGGGTCGGCAGCCCTTGTCATGAGAAGAGCATAGCAGCAAAACAGCATTATGTGGGTACTCCATGCACACCGAGCAGGTGGCATCTTCCCAGTCCTTTTTCTCCAAGGCCACTGTTGTTTTCTTTGAGCCACATTCTTTCTCGGAAACCTTCCAGTGATATGAAGGAATTGGATATGGAGCCAACCTGAGTTTACGAGATGGAAGTCTGCGAAGGGCCCTAGAGCTTCTCACCATTTTTCAAGGAAGTCTGAGAAAAATTGTTTGACGGAATTTCAAAAATCTAATGACACATGACAATATATGATGCATAAAATTATTGGCATATGCACAAATAAGAAATAGAAAGGAAAAATTTATTGAGATAACATATGAAAACCTACTGTTGGGTCAATTAAATTTGTGCATCCAACTCACAATACCAAATAAGTAGCACAAAAAATTTCCTTTCAGCTAGTAATAAGCCCAGTTCACCTACATACACCATCTTTCATTTGTCTCCACGAGGTTCCAAAAAGTTCCTTAAATAACCTTTTGAAGTAATAAAATGTAAACATTCAAGATGGTACATACAGAAAATGAAATGAAACATCTAAATAGACAAGACTCTTTGATGTAGGTTTGCATAAATAGACCAAAGTAATATTTCGTTCTAGGATTTGATAGTTGTGGAATTAAAAAAAATATATAAGATCAAATGAAAGAAGGAACAAGATAAATACTAAACAAAAGGCAACTCAAGGAATAACTTCTATGAATGAAATTCCACAGCACCACATAAATGATAAAATCGTGCCATTAGAACAAAAAAGATATCATCACACACCACTTGCATATAATGTAGGAAAACATAATTTATTCATTAATCCATTGTATTCTATTTCAAGTCGTGACCCTTCTCTCTTGTGATGAATCCCTAAATACAAGAACAAATAATCATGCTTTTTAAAAAAAAAATTGATAAGCTTCCGTACTTGTAGATTCTTCAATCATGATGAAGCTTCTTTATATAGAATGGAGTCTTCAAAGTTCAAACAATCCTAAGTTTTGTCACATTCCTTAGTTTTATTTAGCTTCCCTTTTCAAACAATCCTTAGTTTTATTTAGTTTATAAGCTTCTTCACATAAACTAATATTTCTTGTTCAAATAAAAATAAATTGAAATGGTCCTGCATAACCCGTATATAAGATCTCCACTTCAATTGATCCTTACACAAGGAAGATAGGTTTTTGCCTATTTGATAAGCTAACAAAAGACAAGATCATAATCCCCTTACAGCTAGGCTAACCCTAGTAAAATTAATAAACAATTAATCTCCCTCAAGCATATGTTAAACTTTCTCCTTCCAAAATAAGTATCTGCGAAACCATAAACATTGCATGGTGGTTTTCTTGAAAGAGGAGGATGCCAATTGTAACTGATGTTTGATCAATTGGATTGTGGTTTGCAAGTCATATGAAAAAAGTAAAAACACATAGTCAGCTTTAGACATTAAAAAAAGGACCCTTACCACATTTGAGATTTGATGTATTAAAGCACAATAAACCAACCAGATAAATTTAGGATTGACACATTATGATACAAATTATATAAGACAAACTATCTGAATTATTCACAACACATTAATTATTCTTTGTCACATGACTTACACCATTATATAAGACAAACTATCTAAATTATTCACAACACATTAATTATTCTTTGTCACATGACTTACACCGACCTTTATTACAGTTGAAAAATATTGAATGTGGCAATGCACTGAAATAATCAATTCCATATCAACTTTTAATTAGTGGACACAAATTTCATTACAAATACTTAATAGATGCTAAAATATAAAACCGTGTTTGTTTAAGATAGACATAGATATGAATTAGATGTATGGCAAAAATAGATTCAGATAGCATATAAGCTGGATGTAGATATGAACATTACCTAAAGCTACCAAGTACCAACAACAAAGACACTTTCTCAAAGACAAACCTATCAAATTATATCTATTGGAAAAAAAAAATGAAAACAAATATGAAAAAGAAAACAACTGTACTAGAAAAATTAATCAAATAACATCTTTTCTAATTTTAATACAAGTACAATTAACACATTAATATATTCACATATTTGGATATCCTAGTTCAAATAAAATAATACAGACTGTATCTACATTCAGAAAATTTGAAAAGCAAAAGCGGATGCATAGATGGATACATGATTGACACACTTATATGCAACCATACCTGGTGCTACTCCAACACAAATACAAATCAGATGGAAATATTCTGACCCACTTCATCCCATAACCTTATACCACTCCAATGGTAGTTCAAAATAGTGCAATACATATTGGGTCTCAGTAATCCAAGATAGTGAATAAAGAAGTCCATACTTCAAATTTCAGAGTACCATTGGTTCTGCCCTATACCTGATATAATATCTGATAGTTATTAGGTGCATATGGATCTAATAGATATGTTTCTATATTGTGCTGCAGATCCTACATCTTTGCCATCAACTTTTGAATAAATGCTGGATGGACTAAACATGTTAACACCTTCAAACTCTGGCAGATGTTTATAAAAGAAACAGGAGAATCTTAAGAGATATTACATTTGGAATCCAATATGCATTTCTTAATTCCAACAAAAATGACTGATGATATGTATGTCTTGAGAAAAAAGTGTCAACATGTAAATATTCAACTTATTTCTCAATCATCTACCTCAAAGAAATCTTTTTTGTAAAAGGATGGTTGACATGATGCTTAAACACAATTCCAACTCCCACAAATGCATACAATAAATATGAAGAAACAATATTCATTTTGACTATTCCATTTACGACAAGTCACACCCTCCTAAAGCCCATAATTCAGTTGGATTCATCCAATGTAGAAAAGAACATATCAAGCAGCCATGGCATTTGCACATACATTCTTTTCACTGCCATATTTTAGTTCCCAAAGCAGATAACCTTTTTCTTTTCTTAGTACTTCTTTTCTATTCAAGAAAACAATCAATAAACACAAATGTTAGATTACAAGCTTTGGGAATTTGCTCATGTCAAACTATAGAAAGTAAAGCTTACAACTGTTAAGGTGATACTTCATGTTTTGATTCTCAGTGGTCATTACAAGATTTAGCACCTGGAAGCATCATGATTCATGAAGGACATGATTGCAATGAGAAGCACCAAAAGAAAAGAACACCCTAGACCCTACGAGTTATGATAGCGTTGGTAGAGATGCTGAAAGTTATAATAGGTAAGTTCGACAAAATTTTGCTATGAAAAATTGAACAGATAGACACTCATAAACATCACAAACTAAAGCCATATGGCAGCAAATCATGATTGCAGAGTTACGAAAAAGACTTTCATTTGGTTAAATGTGCAAGTTCAAGAATTTGAAATTTGAAGAAGGAAGATTATGCTTATAAAAGCCCATAAGTCACTGTTCAAATGTCCAATACCAGGACATCAAATCAAAATGAACAACATTTACCTAGAACATAAAACATAAAAAAGGTTCCTTAAGAAGTCCTTTTTTCTTTTATATTCAATAAAATACAAATCTCAAGATGTCTTTTTCTTTTTACATAGGATGAGTGGCGAAGAAGAGATTCGAATTCAGGACCTTGCGATAACTTGTCAAAGTCTTTACTAGCTAAGCTTGCTAGTTAAGATCAAGATGTCCTTGAAGTCACTTCCACCAAGAAATCGACAACATAAGTGCAGAAAATTTAAAACCAACATCACTAATGGAATTAAATAAATTATTTGACTAACAAGTGAAAACGGAAAAGATAACTCACTTCAAATCAAGCCAGTCTTTAGGACACTTGTACCAGTTTATGTAGTCTCAGTATGAATGCTTCTCTTAGACCTAGAATCATCTTAAATAACATAAAAAACCCTTACTAAGACTTAAAATGGGAAGATGAAAGAAGGTTGCTCAATCATGATGTATTACGCCTGCTGGATTTGGAATAACCAGGGGCCATCCTCTTTGAGGTGTGAAACAAGTAACCACACATTAATCAACTGAACAGTATGGAAGTTATCACTTTTAAATGCCACAATAACTCCTCTAACCATACAATGAGTTAAACTCACCAAGGTTCTCAATAAATCTCAGGATATAAGTTACAAAAGTAAACAGCAGTACTATCAGATGCTTTCCTATAATCTCAAATGAAGTTCACCTTTCAAAACATAGAACCTCTTTACCAGAAAGTAAAGCTATTATTATCGACAAAAAAAATATTGCACTACAATTCCAACTGATTTCACTTTCAGAACTGAAAAAAAAGAGGATGCAAACGAATTATAAACAGATATCTACATGAAAAGAAACAAAATAACAAGTCACCATACACCACAAAAACATATCAAACCCTAGACATCTCGGACAGCTCAAGCACACGCAATGCATCTCTCAAACGAGAAACAGCCTCGTATGATCTTTGATTGTTTCCCCAAACAAGCTAAATATTTCACAGCAAACCTAATTTAGGATAATGACACAAGTATGAAGACCAACTAATCGTTAAAACGCGAAACGAAATGTTGAAGGAACATATAATAACCATGGAACAACAGATGCGCGAAACCAGATCAAGCTATCCCTTTCGCGGCGTCAAGATTTGAAGAACTCGGGCGACCGATAATGGGATCGGGCCCCTTAGGCCCCCGGAACGGCAAAAGGATGGGGATTCCCCCATTCGGAACGTCGGATCGCCTGAAATCTGAGCGGATCGATTTATCCGCTCAAGATTCTGCCCGGATCGACGAGTCATTCCGATACTAACAGAGAAACCCGAGAAGACGAAGGTTAGATGAAAAGATACGGAGGAGGATCCGCTACCTCTCTTGCCGAACGGCGCGATCGAGGCGGAGCGCGGAGAAGGGAACGGAACGCGGAGGAGGAGAAGACTACCAGGCAGACTCGATGGTTCCCTCGCACGACACGAAAAGAATGGTAGAAGAGAAGAAATAGAGAACCAAAGAGACTTAAGAAACACAGATATCAGAGAGATGAAACGAGAGGGCAGAGGAAAAGAAATATAACAAAATACTCTTTTAACTTAGGTTTTATATATATATATATATATATATATATATATATATATATATATATATATATATATATATATATATATATATATATATATATATATATATAT